CAAAGTAGAAGAAAAACTATGATATCAATGAATTTTATGCAAGTTTCTTTGTAAATGATAAGATTTATTCGGACCATCTACTCTATTTACTGAGGTAGTCAATCAAGAAAAATTAAATTTTGCTGAGATCACGAACAGGTCTAAGTTAGACAACCATTAATAACCCCGAAACACTGAAAAGCCGCTTCGTTCTAGTACTGGACTGTTCTGCAGTGCGAATTGATTACCCTACCACAAGGGAATCAAACTCACGAATTTTGATCTTGCGCATGAACCCTTAACTTTTAAACCATTGAGCTGGCACCCAATGGTGTTAATCTCTAACTTCAATCGATTCGCGATATTGCATCACTATCTTTCATTGCCTGTCTTGAATAACTGTCACATACTCGACAAGTTTGAATTCCACTAGTCACAGCTTTGCACTAGAACTCCAGAAAATATCTGTCGAAGCTCAAGACTGGAGGCTCCAGGGTTCGAGTCCTGGTTGAGGGGTCGTCGATGTGCACTATTGTAGAGCATCATACTAGAACGGAACAGCCATTCAATGCTTCCAGATTTTCAATGACTTTCTAAATTAAATATGTTCATAATTTCGATAAAATTCAATGATCTACGGAATTCTATATCAATAAATTTAATTTAAAAAATAATCTTAATGAACAGGTAGTTAATGATAGATATTCAGGCATTTTATAATATTATACCAAAAAACAAGATACGGTAGAATATGTGCACTTGCGACTTATTTCTAGATGTGATTCTCAGAGTTCTGGCAAGAAGCCATCATCACTGAAGTCCAAACTTTCTCGTAGCGAGGCAGTTACTTACCAATATTATTGGACGATAATTGTGCAACGTCGCGAATCGATTGAGATTAGAAATAAAAACTATTGGACGCCAACACAGTGGTCTAAAAGTTAAGCGTTCGTCGCTAGACTTGAAGGTAATGGCCCTGACCTTTGATGGGCTCATGTCATTAGTGTGCACTAATGAGGCGTCCCATACTAAAATAAGCCACCTGTTCAATGTTTTTTGGTTTCCGATGCTTGTCTAATTAAGACCAATCTGTGATCTAAACTATAATAAAACGAACAAATGTGTTTTGATCTGTGTATAAGACTACCTAGAGTAATGTACATCCATAACCATATATCACAAAAATTTAAATTCATCACACCACCCTTCATTTTTCATGAAAATAGTAGTTAGCTAGAGGACTGAGTTTGCTAACAATAACTTTCGAATCCAGTTGAAACTGAACAATATTCCTCTTTTGTATTTCATGGAGTGAATAAAAATAAAGACGCGGAAAATAACATGAATTCATTTGAGTTTATTAGGGTTTTGTCAACTTTTTTCTGAACTGTACCAACTGGTCTCTTTTTGTTATTGGTAACGTTAATGAAATGGAACATATTGTTCTATGTTATTATGCGTCTTGTTGAAACATTCTAATAGATGAATAAGAACTTTCGTCTAAATTTAAACGAATAGTTTCACAATATTTGGGCGCCGAGTTCATTTGTGACATTAAAAAGAAGAATATATTTGTAAAATCTCAGCGAATGAATTTTAAGTAAATCCAACGTTTCGCCTGGCAATCTGGTCCAAGCTTTTTCAAGGAAAATATAATCAAACAACAAAATTATCGAATATAAATAGGTACATGGTTCTCTGGTTTATTGTATACTGAATAAGTCATCCAATCAACGTGAAGTATTTTCATAAATATGTATTTGTATTAATGTGTAAGAGACATGTTTACACATTAATACAAATACATATTTATGAAAATACTTCACGTTGATTGGATGACTTATTCAGTATACAATAAACCAGAGAACCATGTACCTATTTATATTCGATAATTTTGTTGTTTGATTATATTTTCCTTGAAAAAGCTTGGACCAGATTGCCAGGCGAAACGTTGGATTTACTTAAAATTCATTCGCTGAGATTTTACAAATATATTCTTCTTTTTAATTCTAATAGATGGGTTGTATATCGTTGCATATAATAAACATATAACCAAAATATTTGAAAAATTCTGTCATTTTATTAATTGTATGGAGGCCCATATAGACACTACAATGCCCACGTGAATTTTCTCTGTACATTCATAACTGCCTTTGTTAAGTTATCATACATATAAACCTTTAGAGTGTTCTTATATGTACTGTGTGTGTGTACGTATATTGATTATTATTTATAGAATGGTTGCCTAGGTATTCGCATGTTTGTGATATATTCTTTACCCAACGTGAAGGATGACAAACTCTTAAAAAACGTCGATTGGTTTAAAAAAAAATCATAGACCACACTACGCTCTATTCATTTTTATCATAAGTCTGCTCGAACATCGATGCTTAAAATAAAATCCTAATTCAATTCATATATCGCTTTCATTATCATTGTTGCCCAATAGGGTTAACCTAATTATAACATATATGGAATTAGTATTTTATGGTAAATCCGTCATCATTCATAAGAGAGTCAATAATTTTGACACAACTATTTTCTACTCAGAAACATATCTATCAGAACATGACTTAATGAACTCCTCATTATTAATTTGACGGTGTGTGGTATTATCGAACTCAGATTGAATTTTTGTCATGCTTATAGGAAGCAGTTTTGAAGTAGTGGCTTAATGGCTAAGGAGTTTGACTTTCAAACAATATGTTCCGGTTTCGAACTTTGATCAATCCTACCTCAGTTTGAGCAACCAGCTAGTATATTATCAGCACTCGTACAAAGAGTGTGGGTCGTAATTCAAGTACCTGAGGAATGAGTTAATTTATATAAAAATGTTTTAATTTAAGTAGCAGTCATTCGAAATAATATGAATTCATGTTATTCTGCGCGAATATATGTTCTTGCTCTCTTCAAAACAATGAAATTCCTCAAAAACACATTACACAAAGTTACCTAACAGAGCTTCCCATCTCTCAAATTAATCAAGGAGTATGTCATATCTTTACACAGCTTATACTAATAATCAATTACTTTATGGATCGATTACTAAGACAGAATATGAAGTGAGATTGTTTTTAACTGTGTGATTTATCGTCAACACCAGCCATTTGAGATTTTATTCCAACTTGTTTCTATGGGACAAGGTAGAGTCCAACTAACACCTCAAGGTGCCCCGAAGATAACGGGACTTTGTTTCATGAGCTAACATGAGGGATGAATATCGTACTAGTCCCCCACTCTATCGTAAATATGGACTACATAAGTGGTGTGTGGTAAAAATAATTATTAAATGCAGAAACGTAAAAAGGAATTTATTTCGTTTGGTGCTTTAATGGATTATCTCTAAGAAAGATCGTCAGGTCTGGTGTAATCCAGAGTGATGGTCATAAATTGTGTCGTAACCAGTGCACAGGACTCTAAACTTGTCTGTGGTATGGGTGTGGAGTTGATCGTCAATAGACAGCTTTAATCAAATTATTTGAACGCAATTAATTGATTCATTCCTCACTGTCAATGGGTTGGACCCCGACCTATAAGTAGCAAAAGCAAATCGCATTCATACCCATGTATGTACTATGTAGTGTATACGCTTTGGTCTATGTATTCTACATATGCAAGTAAGTAACGTATACTTGTGATAGGAAGTATCTATGCTAGTATAGGTAACATGTGCATATACTCTTGTTCATGTATTTTATACATGCATGTAACAAACACTTGCGTTGTTATTCGTGTTTCATACTGGTTTCTATTCATTATTGTTCTCAATGCTTTTGAGTTGTTACTGGGTTTCCCGATGGGAATGTCCTTAATGCAGCTGTACAAAAGTAGACTAGTAATGTGTTCGTCTAATTCATAAGGTATGGTTGACTCGAAATCCTTAATATACACGAATGGTACCAAAGTAAATTGCCAGTGTTCCCATTTGCTTTGGTTTCTTCGGTGTTATAATCTCGTATATTTTAACTAAATTTATTTTCTTCCGATAATTCAACTGACTTCCCGACTTGTCTGTGTGGGATTAACTAACTTCCATAGTAGGCTGGGAAGGACAACAAGCTGCAGTGATGATTTATAGAAGTTAAAGTACCCAGCTTTCAACCATTAAGTGCTGGGTTCAAACCCCAAGACACCTAGAACAGTCTGAATAACAGTGCATTGTTTTTAGACCTTACACCAAAAGTGTGACTCATAGTCTAGTACCCAAGCTTTTGATAAATGAGCTCTACAGGCCCGGATAAAGAGTTGCTGAAATTGTGTAAAAGATATCGAAGTCAATCAAGTTCCATATTCCCTCCTCTCATCAACTGATCTACTATCAGGACATAAGCAGTTTATATCTAGCTTAATCATTACACAATAGTGAGTCCCTATGAGAAAGAAACGTGGAAAGGAAATTATGGAAATTATATAACTTTTCTTGAAGAATTAGTTTGTTTATCTTTCTATATTTATTTATTAAACACATGGTTCATGGTATTTCAATATTGTTCTACTTGTAAGTTCTGCATCTGCCTACTTATTGACCTCAGTGATATCTCGTTCATTTCGCCATTTATAAATTACAGTTAATTAGCGATTCACTTCTTAATTTTTTATGACAAATTTCTTTTTTGTTTACCTATTGAGACTTATTATTTCATGGAGAGTTGAGATCACGAATTTTATGCTTATAATCAAGTGAATTTCTGATTTAAACAATCCAAGTTATTTTACTTGGATAATCCTTGATTGGTGGTTGGATTTACTAACAGGTCAATTGAGTGTAGTTTTATGAATGATTTTTTTGTGACTCATCCTACCAACTAGAAATTCGTGTGGGTTGGCTTTGAGCCACGCATTATATATGAGATTTGTTGCCAAAGCTGACCTAAGTAGAATAGAGAGTCGAACTTGAGACCAAACATGATGACGTCAATGGACTCATTATTTGGTGGGAATAGGCTGAATTGTCAAGTGTCGAAGAGTATGTGATATACTAAACAATTATCATATATATATCTGTATGGAAATTCACTCACGTGGATTACGTTGATAAGCTGCACGAAAATATTTCGTCGGTAAACAACCTTCTTTATTTCCTTCACATAGAATAACATTATTTTTTGATAAGTAAAATTTATATCCATCATTTATTGCTTTAATTAAATCAATATAAATAATAATCTCAGCACTTGAACGCATACCACTTATCACACCAGTTTCACCAACTTCACCCGGTGCAAAATGTATATGAGTACGTTGCATACGTTTTAAGCCCTCTCTACGTATTGAATCCCAATTCCGAAAATATGTACCATGGATAACAGTTGGATAATCTTCAGGATTTTCAATCAACGAAATATCTAACCCTTCGATCTATATGGATAAGTGAGAGAGTGGAAGAGGAGAAAAAAAAGCATAGTACGATAGAATACTGCTACTGCTCACTTAAATTCAGTAAATTCATAATTGAAAAAAACTGATATTTAAATTGGATTAAGCAAGGCTTTCTACCGACTATTACGTTGAAAAAAGCAAACAAATTATTTGGGTTGTATTGGGTTTTGAGTGGTCAGGACATAGTAACAGGGAAGGGTTGTATGATCTTTCTTTCTTTATTATAGTCAGTTCAATCATGACACAAAGCTCATACAATAACATATCTGGAATGTCTGATCATACAATAACACAATTAGAAAATCACAATATTTACTTAACCTAGTCACAAGTGATACAATATAGGGAATTAATTAATTAATTACTAGTAAATCTGGAACAATAAGATATATGATAACGATTTCTGGGTTGGATGAAAGCTTAGAAATCGGAGAATAAAATAATGCAAGTCTAAGCGTCTAATAATTACTGAGTTAAAAATATGGACAATAATTCTTTGTATGTTATCCTTACAGGTTATACTTCTTCACAATTCTCCACGCTGCATCATCAACACTTTTCAACTACATAAGGAATAAAAATATAGTGTTAATTCACATGAACTAGGAGTCGAAACGCAGAATGATTAATAAAATTCGGTCGGTACCAGAGGGCTAGACAAACGTGTTAGCGGTTACTACTTAACGGCTACTCTATGGAAATATCTCAGCCTTGCAGGAGGTTAGTCGTGACACTATTAGATCTATGGTAAAGTTTCAGACTATGAAGCTGGGTTGACACGGGTTCGAGTACAGTGAAAAGCATCGGCTTGTCCAAGTGAGGGTACAGCACGGTGACAAACGACATGTAACCTACGTGAAAACAGGGTTTACTGACTAACATAAAGCAATGATACTATTGAGATTATTGTGACTAGAAATAGTTTGATCAGCGTTATATTTATACCACAATGGCTTCATGATATCATTACACAGTAATGTATTAAAAACTTACATCAGCCGAAAAGTCTAACGAAAAAACACTGTACAGTTAGAGTATCATAAAGTGACTTGTTTTAATTATAGAAGTCAGAAATAAAAAGCGATAAGAAAATAACATGTTGATCGGTTTGCATACCTTTATCATTCACTTGAGATGATAAAAAAACAAACATGATCACATTGTAATACGATGACTGTTATTACAAACTATTTTTAGCTGAAGAACCGATGGAAATCACCGTGAGTCATCATAATGCTTCTAAATGAAGATTCTTCAACTCTCAGTTTCGAGTTTAGATTGTTTCAATGATTGTTTCTGGTTAGCGTTTTGTTTAGCAAGTTTGTGTTCTACGGGATGAAGTTGCTGACTACATGCCCAACCCTCCTTTTTTACCCGGGCTTTGGAACAGCAGTAACCTTAAAACGGTTACGAGGGAAGTGTGATTTGTAAATATATTTTTAATAAATTTGTAAATACAGACATACAATAAGACATGTAATAGTGAATGGACACATTTCGCCTACTTCATCGATATTACTTGGAGTGAAAAACGGTCTATATTGTCGGCAGTACATTAGTAAACTAAATAAGAACCGAGTTTAAAAAATTCCATTTAATTATGTGGATTAACTTTTACACATAAATTAACATTGATAACAATAATATTGATATTTTACTTTTTAGTTTATACAATTAAATGGTTTGTATATGTATAGTGATTCTATTTCATTTTGTATTACAGTATAGTTCTCGTTGGGCTCGTTATTATTATTATTACCGGTATGTTTTTTTTTCTATATTTAAACATATATTCATTCGTTATAATTGAACATGTTTGAAAAATTTAATCCTAATGAACCTTGTAACATAGAGTCCATGGGTGTTATCATTTTTGTTCCTTTAGTGACAGAGGGATAACGCTAAAATCCAATTATGTGATATTTCAAGCTGTATGAATCCTAGTTCAAAAGTTTTACATTTGGATGTTGAATGGTAAGTGAAAAATAAAGTCAATGAACACTAACGCGACGACGTGATTAAGGTTGTATAGCTCGACCAAGAAGGAATTATATTTCAATGTGATTCTTTTGTCTTTGCATTAAATATACTTTAATGGTAAGGTTAAATCCGTTCTTCAAGGGTTGTTACGGAGAGGTAAACTATGACTGTCACGATAAAGCAAGTTAAGAGAGAAAATTTTGTGAATTCGACGTTAGACAATATAGGTTAGGCAGTCACGACATGGCTATCCAACTAAATTATGTCGCCATTGAGAACCTGAAAGCATCCGACAGCCGTTTCGTCCTAGTATGGGGCTCCTCAGCAGTGTGCACCCACGATTTCGTACGCGAGACTCAAACCAAGGACCTTTGGTCTTGCGTTAGTGCGCGGTCTAGCTTAGGTAGACTCGTGAACTCAACTGTTAAAATACTATAATTTCCACAAGTAACCATACTGATAAATTATATCAGGTCTCTTAGTTTTATAACATAGATACACTCAATAATACCGACTTACATAATTATGTATTACAACCCTATCTTTAAAGCGCCCAATCATGTTTTGTGGCTTGCATACATGGAGAAATATTTCCTAGCTAATAGAACCATGGTAGAAGACATGAAGGAGTATGGGTGAACCAATTCGAAATTGTCCAACGAAATTTCCAGCTAAGACGAGATAAGTGGTATCTAACCCAGCCCGGAAGTATTCACTCATAAGAGCGCGAGCAAAAGAGAGACTATCAAATTAGTGCAATGGAAAAAAGTGATTAGTAATAGGGGTCACCATTAAAAAGGCACATATTATTGATGGGGATCATTGAATGAAGGAATAACACTTTTGTTTCATAGGTGATATTTAAATTGGGAGTAAGAAATATCGTTCCAATGCTACCTCCCAATTGACGAACACTTTGCACGCTAAAATAATTCCTTTTAAATGAAAGTTTTAAAAACTTTTTTTTTGGGCAGTTGTTTACCGTAAAATTTTGTTTATTGACTTGAATTCCTCATTAATAAACATATAACTCACACAAATCATTACATTTCAATTTCATACTGTTCCAATGGTTGTACACTAATTATTTCAACTCAGCAATTCTTTATGGTGTTTTCATTCTGTCCAACTTGATGTATTTTTTTTTTGGGGATACAGTAAATATGATTTATACCTGAACCCATACGCAGACACACAATTATATACATGTTCAAATTACTCTATCTTTGAATTATTAGCCTATCTGGTGGACAGACACAATGGTATTACATCAAGCCATCATAATTCTATCATACTTTTATACATATATATTCATACTTGTAGGAGTGAGGTTGTTTGATCGAACTCATTTATGTTTCATTCTACGCCATTATCTTACGGATCCGCTTAACACATTGATTGTTTAGACCTTTCAAATTAGTCATTATCATAAGCATACATATTTGCTTGTTCAACACTATTCGTTAACTCGCTCATTGTTGATTTTGTGTCATTTGAATAAAAATATCTCAAGTGAAATAAATATCCATTACACACTTCAACTGAAATTTTAAATATTCTATTGATGGATTAACATATTAATGATCATTCAGTAGAAACGTAAAAGAAGTTAAAAATAGACACAAAACCTCTTTTAATAACTCATACGATTATTATTATAAATGAAACAGAATAGAAGCCAATGGCAATCGTGCAGTAAGTCTAATGGCGGAAGGCTTGATAACTATTTACTAAGTGATCACTGTTTCCCCACATTTCTTCTACACCTAAGCCACAAAGGGAAGGTATGAAAAGAAGTTCTACATCCAAGGTTAGTCTAGGTATAGAGAACAAAGAGATTTATGGGTTTGTGCGACCTTAATGTTTTAGAAGCTCCTGGAAGCACGCTAAATCTAGTGAGAAAAAAAGATAACTATCTAATCAAAGTGTGACACATAAACCTTCGTTTGTGTAAACTGATCTCGGAACTTTTCATTGAGTGCTGATTGAATGAGGTATTTCCAACCATTCTCTGGCCTACCAATTTCACAACTCATTGGCGGCAAGCGATGATCTTTTAATGGAGATGAATTGGATACACTTGAATGATATTTTTTTCTCATTCGAAGTATGTTACACAATACTAACGTTCTTGTCCAGTTCATAATATATTATCTCAGTACCACTATGTACTATTCATTTCTGAAAACAAATCAATAAATCAGTGAAATATGTTGTTATCAATGGAATTATCTATTCTTATCACAAGTAAGAAGAGGAAACTATCATCGTTAATGTTAGTCTTGTTGACTAATGCAACTGTTAATGACAACTTATGTACAAATTACAAGAGTAAAAAAATGATGCAAAGATTAATTCACTGAGATGGTTGTTGTGTGATATTTTGTACTACTATTTAAAAATATTTCATTAGATAAAAGTACAAAACTGCTCATCAAAGTTACTTTCATTCTATTTTAATATTTTTATTTAGCATAATTAAGTATTGATGAAATAACGCTGGTGTAATGCAACGTTAGATTACTGAGGACGAACAATGAACGATTTATCGGTGTGAATAATTCACTAATGCTCTATACTAAATATGCAGTCGGCACAATTCTGTTAGGCATCAACACAACTCGATTATGCTGGTTGCATATCTAGTATAGAGCATGAGCGAATTATTCACACCGATAAATCGTTCATTGTTCGTCCTCAGTAATCTAACGTTGCATTACACCAGCGTTATTTCATCAATACTTAATTATGCTAAATAAAAATATTAAAATAGAATGAAAGTAACTTTGATGAGCAGTTTTGTACTTTTATCTAATGAAATATTTTTAAATAGTAGTACAAAAAATCACACAACAACCATCTCAGTGAATTAATCTTTGCATCATTTTTTTACTCTTGTAATTTGTACATAAGTTGTCATTAACAGTTGCATTAGTCAACAAGACTAACATTAACGATGATAGTTTCCTCTTCTTACTTGTGATAGGAACAGATAATTCCATTGATAACAACATTTTTCACTGATTTATTGATTTGTTTTCAGAAATGAATAGTACATAGTGGTGCTACACTTAGTAGAAAGATCACGTTAAAATTCTAGGGCTGAGTTTATTTGTTGGGTAACTTTATTTGTAATATTTTAATTACTAAATTTGTCGTACCGAGGTACTTCCGGTCCTTTAATTTTCGATTTTACCGATTGATGGATAGCTATAACATCTACGATGTATGATAAGAGTAAAATAATATAATACAGGAATGGGATTAGAGTAACCACGATGAACTTTTAGCTAGTTCCTAGTCAGTCAGGAAATATTTTCCTCAAAACATTAATTTATAGAAAAGAAAACAGTAAGATTACAAAGTTTTAACATATTTTATCTAATTAATGGATTTAATGATGTTTTCTACAGGTTACGCTGGTTTTAAATCAAGAAGACAACAGTATAAAAATTCATCTTTATAGTTAGAGGTTGCCTGTCTTTTACTATCTTGAAAAGGATGAATATAGATTTTTCAAATATTTCATATTTTTCTTAGTTTGGAGTTAGATATAAGGGTTTATGGCTAGATTTTTCATCAAGAACTGACATCAGTTATAATGCAAAAATGCTCTGTAACAATATAGATGAATGGTCTTTAAACAAAATCCCAAGAGTCGCTATCTGATGAATTTCTTCTATAAGACAGAATTTCATCAGGTCAAGATTTTGTTTCAGGAACAAGAGTTTAGGATTAGGATTTTAGAGATAGTGTTGATTTGTTTATCATATACGATCAACAGAGACAGGATTGATCATTTAATAAATTGAAGACCAATTTTAATTTATGATCGTAAAAATAATTGTTCGTTATCATCTCATGTTCACAGATAGAACATCTCAGAATGCCCGAGTGAACAAGCTGAAGTGGGTGATTTTCTTTGGGGGGCAACTGTGCGAACCTTCGATCTGGAGGTCTGATCCACAAGGTAGTGGGTCAGAGTTGGGAGATGCAGTCCAATGGTAAACGATGACCAGCAACAGATTCGCACGTCATTTGCTCCCTATGGATCATGGAGCCCATTGGTTTGGAATCACGATTTTAACTCCTCTGAGTGGGTCCTCCGTACCCACCAACCCGATTTAAGCGCCGGACATTCGCTCTCAGTTTCGAAAACAACAATTCTTCTGTGATAAGGCAGTGAGTGGAACTTCCCTGGGAGTGGCTATATACGCGTGGCCATTTGATAGCATTTTTAGAGGGAGGAAGGAATCTATACACCCTCAGTCGTACAAGACCATTTGGAGGCTAAATAGTCGAGTAAGCTAGATGAGCATGTACACAGTCACACACACTCACATATACATGAAAATCGATATGAAAAGTAGAGAGCAATTATGTGGGAATATACACGAATTATCAAGAAAATAACAGCATAGGGTTTTGCGCAGATTGCAGAATTTTCGTAGTTTAAATCATGGACTGGTCTTAGCCAAACCACTATTAAAAACCTGGAGGCACTGGATAGCCGTTTCATCTTAGTTTGAAATCAATCAGTAGTGTCCACATACCCGATCATTGGGATTCGAACCTAGAATATTCAGTCGCATGAGCGAACGTTTAACCCCTAGGCTGCTAACCAGGAATCAAACGGTGTACACATCTAATAAATGAATTTAATTGACCCACGATACTGACCAACCTTCACTCAATAGCTGAGTTGGATAACTATCTTACACCACGCATTATTGAATTCTACTAGTTACACCTTCCAATTAGAATTCCAAGAATTGCATTTAGAAGATAGCCTCTAATAAGTACATGATTGTTATCGGTGAAGGATTTTGTAGAAATTATATAATTTTCATAGATATTGTATCATAAACTGATAACGAGATTTGTCTGCCACAAATTCATTCAAAACAACTTTACTGATCTAGACATGTACAAACCTGTAGGTGAGTAAAAGGTTACTTTAAGGTACTCAGTGTTGAATATTTACAAGCTTAGTTTTTCTAGTATTTGACTGTAAAGTACTTTTGGTTAGTTAAAGAATTATTTTAATTAACCAATCACTTAGCAATCATTAACTTAGAGACCAAACTATAAATTCAGTGTTCATCTTGTTGTGTTAATGAGGTATGGAAACTTGGACCGATGCATATATGTGCCTGACCTACGTTGTAGCTGACTGACTGAATTAACATTTATTATTATTATTAGGACGGCTCCCAGAAAGCGCAACAAAGCCTCCAGAGGCTATAAAGGATTCGAACAGAGTGAATCTAATCAGAACCAGATAGAACTTTCCAGAATATCAATATGATATGGTATGACTGACTGTATTATGATGTTATAGGCCATACTAAGAACTACAGACCCCCCCCTGTTTCACCGTACATTTCTGACACTTAAAAACCACTTTTCCTGCTTTCTTCCTTTTTTTGATTTGTAATCTTGAGTTTCCAGACGTTCGAAAGTGTCGAAGCTCTATATATCGTTTAAACCGTAATCTATTAGAGTGTATTCTTTCATTCATTCATTCATTCATTCATTCACACACACAGAGATTATTTTTCAAAGTGAGCATTATTTACAATACGAAATCGGTTTAAAAAACAAGGAACATTTTTAAGTTTATCTATGAGCTGTAATCATTAAAAATATATAGACATTTATAACTTATCATTAGTCAGCAACAAATAAATTGTTTTATCCAAGTAGATAAAAAAGTTTATTAAAGTGTTATTCTAGGCAATAGTAACTAATTGTACTGAAATTCATTATAATGAAGTGAGTTTGGTTTCATAAAATAATCACTAACTTTTAGCAAGATGATTTTATACAACTCATAAGTAGTACTTTACTTATAGATTATTTAATGTTATTGAGATTCAACTAAGATTAGTAATATTTCATTCAATAATTTCCTGCTAATTTCTCAATTGTATAATATAGTTCTCTCATATTTCCTCCTCCTATATCTTTTATGTTATACTTGTAAGGTCCATTACATAATTTCTGCTTCTCACCCATAATGCTCGTTTTCACACGTTTGTCTGCTTGTATCTTGGCTTTCTTTCTTCACTCTTGTTCCGTTCTTATTGATTGGTGTCATCATGTTTCTTACTTCTTCAATCTTATCCAGGCTGTCTACAGAGATGTATTATTGTTAGTACTTATTGAAGCACAGCGCCTCCAGGCAACTTCAAGTTATTGATTCTTTATAACCCCATTCTATGAGTGCTTTCTGTGTCCCTTTAAACAAAATCACTGCAAATCCTTGTGTGCGCGAAGCATTTACTTTTTCATGACCAGAATGCAACATCATCTCTCCCGAAATTAAGCTTTTCTGTCCAGTGTGCCTCTATTGGGTTTCACTCATTCCGAGCATCATCAGGTTGTATCTTGTCATTTCCATAGCTATATGAGTAGTCCTCCAGGTCTTCCGTATTGTTCGAACATTCCATGTACCGATATTACTTGTCTCTCTAGTTGTTAGAAGGGACATCAGTCTCGTAACTTCCAAAGAATCTAGTCTTTCATCATGGGTCGTTATAATTCTTTTAAATGAAGATTCTTCAACTCTCAGGTTCGAGTTTAGATTGTTTCTGGCTAGCGTTTTCGAGTGAGTATCTGTTTTTATGGGTTTTGGTTTATTAACCTTATTGCCGAACCTCACTCTTTACCTGGACTTTGGACCAAAAGGAACACTGGTGGGAGTGTGAGCGGAGTTGCTTACAAATATAGATTAAAACAATTTCATAGGATTAGATTCATAATTTTTCACCTTCCAACGTGGCATAGACTAGCCACTCGACGATTTCATGCAGATATCCTGTCTTGATATAGAGACTCCTAGCTTATTTTGTCAGTTGATGGATTTTATGATTTTATCAACCAGCCTTCTTGTATTCTACCTGCTATTCTATACCTAATCACATAATCACTTACTTAGTGGTTTCATCATATATATTTGCAGTTCATATATGGTTTGTGCTTTCATTGGGTATATTTCACAGTAGTAAAGCAATACGATGTGGACTTATGAATAACACACTTTCCCTTTGATTGGAAAACAGATAAATGACCTGTATGCTTTTGATATTTAAGTGGAAGTAAAATCTTGCCTGTTAATGTTATATCATTTTATTTATTTAGTATATTATATTGATAATTGGGATGGTTAAGTCTGGTAATAAATAGGCCGTATTATTCAGTAGGATGTTTGTTTGTCATCTACTGGATACGTGATTCTTATGGATGAATTTCATCGTGATAATGTATAGTAGGCGATTCTGTGTTATGTTATCTAACTTTTTGAAGCTTAGATAATGACAAACAAGTGCAAAGGATTACATATATAATTTTTTAGCTTCATAGATCATAATTTTACAGTAGTAAAACAATATGAAATGAACTGATGAACAGTAAACTCAAACATTGATTTAACAGACAGACACATGATTCATAACTAAATACATATTGAACGTACATCTTGTTGATGACTACCCAAGTAGCACAAAACTAAGGGTTTAAAGGTTTCTTAGCGATTACTATCTAACATCAAATGTATTAAAAAAACTGTGGTTTAAATGAACTACTATTGCAAAAATACATGAATTGTAAAACTTAACACACTTTTGTTAATCAGTAAACTCATAATGACAATAATGTACTCTCTCATACATTTATCTTCAAATAGGCATCAGAACTTCTAATATGTAAATTTACTAAGCCTGGAACTAGTTAGATAGTATGTATAGTTTAACTGAAGAGTCAACAAATATTAAGGTGTTTTGTGCACCGAAAAGATAGTATACAACATACATTTGTGTAGATGGAAGTTAAGTACTTGGATTTGTATATATATATATATATATATATATATATATATATATATATATATATATATATATATATATATATATTCACAGGGAACAAGAAATATAAACGACCGGAAAAAATGAGAAATTATATATAGATACATTTATTCACTTACTGTAACAGTATGACCTTGATAAGCTCTGATTCTTAACCGGCCATTTTCTGGATTTGTCGACAGTTCATAGCGTTTTTTATCGTTCGAATTAACAACACGTGAAATATCTTCTAGTCGAACTCCTTGAAATGGTTTCAATTGAAGTATTTTATCTACATAAAGGTAACCACCTGTAGAAATTTAACGAAAAATAAGTAAATATTAGTAATGTTAATAAAAGCAAATCAATTAGTAACGTCATGTGAACTATAAAATTCAAGAATCTAAAATGCATCATATAGTAAGAATAGCAATTAGCTTTTATTAAATATACTTTACACATATGATAGATAATTGTTGAGTAAAGTCAGAATATTTAACAATTACCACCAATCAAGGTCACGAGCTCGAATACTGATTCACTTGAAATTCAATTTAAACAACTAGATAATTACCAGTATGGGGATTCGGGGAGATTGTAGTATTTTAACAGTTGAATTCACGAATCAATCCAAGCTAGACTACCATTGAACTTATTGACAATGAAATATATGATCTCCTTTCCTCTCATTGATTTCTACTCCTAACTCGTTGAGTGTAGATTGGTTGTAACTGTGTGCAATCAAGTATTGTCTAGTATTTACTAAAGTTCTCTACTCTTGATCGTGAGTCGTGTATCTGATGTATGGTGATCTAATCTCTGTGTATTGTGCATCGTCCAAGTATCCAATCTAGAGTCATGTAGTAAACCGCAGAGAAAAAGGGAGAGGGAAATATTGTAAACCTTACGTTATATTAATAAAAGTCTAACTAGATATAGGAAAATTATCGCGTCGTTTGATTACTCTAATTCTAATTCAGCAAATTTGTCCTGAATTGATATATATATAATACAAAACCTAATTCGTAGTACTACCGTATTCATTAACTCTAAATTACAAATCATTGTATAGCTATCGCGTAGGTTAAATAACTTTTTGTGGAGCATAAATCTTGTCAGATATTTAGTGTGGTATGGTATGTACAAAGAAATGCAATGGGTATACGTGATGCTATATTGATTACTTTGTAACATTTATTTTCATGATTTGACCAATTATTTTCACAGTTGAAATCATAAACTGATCTTATCCATGACACTATTAAAAATCTTGAATCATTGAACGGCCACTTTATCCTAGCATGGTACTGCATGACAGTAAGCATCCATGACTTCGTGACTAGCAATTGAACCCATAACTTTCAGTTTCGTGCGTGACTGTTCAACCTTTACACTAATCAACTTGGACCCAATCATGTTAATATATTATTTCAGTTAATTTACGATCCCATACAATCATCATTCATTATTTATTGTCTGACCACGGGTACTCATAGAAAAATTATTTCATTAGAACAGTTTAGGCAAAAGCATCATATATTGACAAATCAATGAGATTTAAGATGACTATTGGATTTTTGTGTAAAGTTTGAAGCACAATAACAAATAGCATGTAACATATTGAAAGTTGAATAAATACTTAGAATATTTAATTACTAAAAACTGATAAATATGAGAAGGTTGAAAAGATGAGGACGGTAATTTATAAAGTTACAAAAATAACTTTGAAGTTTTTAATATTTAAAGTTTTCATCGATATAGGGCAAGAGAATATTTGTCCATTCAATTTATTATCACTACTCTTAATTGCTTATGTTGTATTCGAATTTCTAACCTTAAATTCTGGCCAATTATTTTACTTGAAGAAAATTCTGGTTTTGCTGATGTAATAAATTATTCATTTATGTGACCTGCATTCCTACCGGCTAAAAATTGGCTTTAATTTCTCAAAGTTACTTCAAGAGTTGCTGAACATTTTCACTATAGTCTACTTTTATTATGAAATTCATTTAGGTGGAGAGTTGGCGAACAGTTTAGTGAGTAGATTATCTACAACAGTTCGGTCACCTTTTTTATGTGTTCAATCAATTCATCCAATATTGTTCCATGGAAATATTTAGATAAAAAAAACCTATGACGTGAAAACAACACACATACATACCAGGTTCATATTTCATTCCGACATTCTCTGCTCCATGACGTAGAATCCAAGCTAACTTTTTTGATAAAATTACATCAGGATCTTTCTAAAGTAAAAAAAAATATCAAGAAAAGTTGAAATATGAAATATCACCATACATTTAATTCAGGCGGTTTCAAGCGAACTTTTGATCCTCTAACACTGAATCGTAATAATGCATCATTATGTACAACATCAATAATTTCATCATATGTACAATGTTCTTTTTTGAATTCAGGTAATTGGATAATTTCATCAATTAGGAAATAACCATCTGAAAACAAAGAGAGAAAGAGAGGAACAGAAACACAAGTTATTTGTTGTGTAATGAAATCAATGCATTAGACAAGGTTGTTGCATCTTAATATGAGGACTGTTCGACAGTAATGGGTGAGCACACTCAAGATTCAAGTGTTTTCGATAAAGATAATGAACACTATCCTGGAATTATAGAAAAGCTGTACACGAAAGCATCAGATTAAGTAGTAACTAGTATGATCACTAGCAACATTGTGAAGCTTTTGACTTCTGGAGTTAATAAAATCTAAAAGTAGGCAAGTCAATATTCGATAAAGGTTACGACTGTCATGAGACTGGAAAATTTTGAGAGTCCGTGATGTGGGTGTATTTTGCTTAAGAGTTTCAGAATTTGAGTGAAGTGACTGCTCGATATCCTTGGGTTTTCAGTAGTTATTCAATTTAAACCAAAGTTAGTGATAAAAAATCATTGCGAGACTACAAGCCAACAACGACCTTGAGGGAACCAATCAGATTCAAGGTAGTGGTTATTGGATTTTGTGCAAAATAAAACACATAGTTCTGATAATCTTCATCTTCTAATTACATTATCGAAATTTATGAAATAAGTAAAATTGTTCATCATTATCTTGTAAGGTGCTTAAAACTGTTAAAAAACTTTTAGGGGTCCATATAATGAGCTTGACATGATGCATAAGTCAAATTACAAGGATTACATGCTCCTGACGCAGATCGTACCTGAGAGCGATGGTGTACTTTAGGGCATAGCCAAGAGTGTTCTAGGATATTATATCCCTAACTCTTAACTTTGACACTACTAAGTGTAACTCCTGAGTCTAGACGGACTTCTTGTCCGTAATCTTAATCCTAATTCGTTTTTAGTGCCCAGAGATCTGACTCCAATTTGGACGAAAGAACGAATATACCGTGAATATAAATCTTCCATTTAACACCTAGGCTAATCCCGTTTGAGCGACGGGGGTAATAAGTCAAGTAAGGGTTGAGTCGGATGTATTTATTTCAGACAATCGCTTATCCAGACAGACATGAAAACGAGAAGTAGAAACTCGAAGCAGAGAATTCAAGAAAGCGTACTCCCTCTTACAATTCATTACAAGCTTCAATATAGTTCAAAATAAATAATAGTGTGACAAATAAACAGGTACTGAGTGAAACAATGAGTGACAGACATATAAACAGTACATATGAGGCGCATAAGAACAGAATCACAAGGACAGAGTGTGTGCTGATGGTCATATTACCTATGATGACAACATTTATTATTGTAGTCAGAATGACTCAATAATCATATGTTGTCTGAGTCAATAAAGTCTGTCCAAAAGTTAGGGTGAATCATCTTGTGTAGTTGTACTAGACGCTAAACTTACCATGTTGAGACTGTATATCCATCACTACATCACTATTTTTTTATAAATAACTTTGTAACTCTACACTCTGTTTTCTCATTGGATGATACGTCGCTCAAGGTTGACGTTATTTTATGGTCACTTCAAAGCCTAACATGATCTTCATAAGACCAGAGACTTAGTAACACACAGTTTGATAAGGATAGAATGAGGATTAGTTTTAATGAACAGTATTAGTCTGATCATAATCTATATACTTTTCAATGTGAAGTTACTATTTTATACTGAAGTTGTATGGTACACTGATTTACTGTTTTATATGTCAGTGTCAATTGTCTACATATATATCAGCAAGTTTATAAAAGATCAGTCAGTGAGTGTACTGAAGAGTAATAATTGAGTTAGAGATGGATCTATGAATATAAGAAAGTCTAAACTTCCATTGCCTGAGATAATTGACAAATATGATGTACGTAATATGCCAATTTATATTTCGACATTTGATCTTATTTATAGTAGACAAATCAGATTTCAGTGAATGATGGTTTATTTCTACGATTCATAAAAATCAATCTTCCAGTGAAATCAGTCAGTTAATTAAAATCCATGTAAAGTATGGTACAAATGTGCGTAAGCCCAAGTTGGCAAACCAAATTGACACGACGAGATGAAATTAACAACCATATTTGATGTGAGAAAGGTACTCACAAAAGACAATGGGAGATGGTTGTACAACATTGTGGATTGATTTAAGTTAGTCTGGCACGCCATTCAGTCCCCGCCCAGTGGTCCAGAGGTTAAGCGTACGCGCGCGAAACCGAAGGTTGTAGGTTCGTTTGCCCATTACGGAATTATGGATTCGCACCACTAAGTAGTCGTATAATAGGGAGAAACAACTGTTTAATTCTTTCGGGTTCCCAGTAGTTGTCTAACTTAGGTCAGTCTATGATTTCAATGAAACCAACAAGTTGAGTAAACAAAGGAATTGATGTGGTAACAATGATGAAGAGAAAGATTAAGCACTGACATACGATTCAGGAGGACAGAATGAAAAGGTGCGTGCAATAGAATACTGGAACTCACAATCAAGAATGCAATAAAGAGTGAAGTCGAGATGTTAATATCTATATCAACCATAAGAGACAAAATAATCCATGGTGCATCTTCCAGAATGATCATAATTAATTTTTATTTTAGTTAACAAACAGAAATTAAGAAATTATGATCACCATTTAGAGGTCGTTTTCGTTGTTATAGCAACTTAAGAGTGTATATTAATAGTAAGTGACCTCAACAGAATGTATGTGAGTGAGTAAGGTTACTTATTATAACATAGGTTTTCAAAATGAAAATAACTAACAATCTATTTTAAGCAACTAAGATAGAATACAATAATCAAGTAGAAACTTAGATAAGTCAATGTATATCTACAAAAAAGGAAAGAAAGTAGATCAGTTTAGTAATTAAGGAAACAAAACAAAATATCAAGATTCGGAGGAGAGATATTGGTTTGATTGTTGTTTGAAATCATTTTAACATAGAATCAATGTTTCCAAAAGTTAATCTAATTGACATGATATGAAGCAAAAAAGATGCTATTCGCTTTACAGCAAAAAAAAGATTGATCTATGGATATCCTTGAGACAAATGAGATCTATAATTGAATATTTTAAATGACCAAAGCTTTAGAATAATAGAAATAACAAAGATTCATCCACACCAGTCATTCATAAGCAACACAGAACCTTTGTGTGTGTGTGTGCATCTACTTAAGTCGTCTCACACTACAACGGCATAATGAGATGAAAATATGAAGACAAATGCCACAGTAGTGAAAATAGTAACAGTATCAGTGACGGTAAAAAATATCAAACCGAGACAATAAAATTCACAAAGGAATACATTTGTGAAATACCAAGTATAAGATAATTTCAAAACGCAAATCTGAAGGAAGACAAAAAGTGAACCCATCTGCACAATTGTGAACCACATCATTAAACGTCAACAACTACTGGCCAAAATCCGAACCATATAGTCTTTACCTGCCATATACCCGTTTATACAAATAGTCAAAAACATCATAAACTGATGCTAAGTATTAGTCAAGTCGCTTCTAGCTTCCATCCAACATATTCTTATACTATCAAACATCGCCCGTACAAATAAGCAGTAATTATTGATTTGTAATACATCTCCCAACCATTTCAATCGATGGAGATTCATCAGCTAATCAGCCAATTTGCCATGTTTGTCATCTTTATATTCACATATTATCTTTTGCGATGTACTGACTAATAATATTCATTACTGTTCTATGACGAAATATAACTATTGGTTACGACACATTATCGTATCATATCTCACAATGTTTTTGTTTTGTTGCAAACTAGAAAATGTACGAAGGAACTTTGAACTATTAAAAATGAATAGTAGAAAAAAATAACTTGTTTATTTAATAATAACAATGATAGTTAACATTGTCAACTCTCTCCCCAGTTCAAAATGAAAAAAACCTACCTGATAAGATAATGAGAATTTAGTAAGTAATACAAATTAGTACAATGAAATGTTAATTATTAAGAGAAAGTTTTCATTGTTAATAGTAATTGAGTACACTAATAGCTTGAGTATATCATTTTATTCATAACTTCGATAAACACTATTCAAAATAGTGTTTGAATATGTACATAACTACCAAGCACAATGTCTTTATTTTTGTTTTTTAAACAATATCAACTTTTGTAGGTTGTATTCACCAAAGATTGATTTTATTTGGAGCACTATTGGAAACTACGTAGCACTGAGTAGTTTTTTTTTAAAAAATCTTAGTACGAACGCTTCTCATTAATGTGCACTTACGACCTCGTCACAAATTTAACCTATGACATTCAGGTCTCGCGGTCAATGACTTAACCTCTATACGATGTCCAGTGATATAATTCTATCTTCAACCAATCTATGATATAGTGCATCAATTATTCACTGTCATTAGTTACAAATGTTTCACCTTCCACAATATTGTTTTAACTCAACTTTCGAAAGAGAAGAAATTACGTGTAAAAAAAATGTAAATTTTCAAATGATGAAATGGGATTACAACAGAATAGTATTTACGCTTGTTTCTTTTTTTTTATTTCTCTCACCTGGTAAATCAGTAAATTTATGAATATACTGTAATTTTCCTTTTAAAAATTGTTCTAATAAATTTCCAATTCTTTCATATCGATCAAGTGATTTACGCTATAAAGAATTGAAATAAAAGAAAAAAAAAGAAAAGAGATCCAGATTATGAGAGTGAGAGTAAGATGAACTATTTTGAAAGGAAACCTATTTTTTCCTATTTAAGATTTTAAAAATATGCAGCATAATATGGTACGATAATCGTAAGACAATATAAATGTGCATAGAAATAACAACAAATGCCATTGAATTAGCTGCTACTGGTGTTATGCAATTATAATAATAATAGTAATAGTAAAAAATAGTGAATGTAATTCAATTTACTAATCAGGTAAAAATTTATATACTTGGTTTTGGTTCACATTATAAGTATGAGGATCAGTGATATAATTTGATTGCATAAATCAAAGTGGGAAGGAGATTAGAAGCCACGATTTGATAACAGAAAGTCAAGTGCCTTAACTTCTGAGCTACCAATTGAATTTAGTTTATCTATAAACTTTTTTTTCATTATTAAGTGATATTTTGAAGAGAATTTCACATTGTGAACTAAGTTACCAACTGAAGAACCACTGAAAATTAGGGAGCTTAGGAGTACAGTTGTAGTGTCATTTAATATAACTAGTAGTTAAATAGTTGATAATAACTTCCTAACCACTTCTTAGTAGTCCAGTAATCTCCTAGATACTTGAGCTCCGAGGAGAAGACAAAGAGCAAGTACTATGGATAAAAGCTATCTAAAAGTTAGTTTAAGTACACAAAACAAGGACATTCGTAGGTTTGTATGACCTTGATACGTTAGAAGAGTTCGGAAACATATTAACATTATTAACAAAATCGGTAGTTGACCAATCAAGATATAATACACGATCCACCGTCTATCTTGTCCAACATACAACTTTTAGTCTAGACATTTATTGAAAGAGACCAAATAACATGAATTCAAGCAGGCAGCAACCGGGTATAACTATGTTTACAGTATTTTTGGAAGTGCGGTAACAAAATGTTAACATATTAGTTATTTAGACCTGTTTGTTACCCTTTATGGAGCGTAGGCCAACCAGGGATCTCCATACAACTCTGTACTGTGCTCACATCCCTAGTTTTCGCTAAGTAGTACTAATACTCCTGATGCTTGCTTCCGAATCCCAGAGTTACGTGTCTTGAGAATTTTAAGCTAAGGGTTGTCTTGTAATCCAGTCTAGTGGTTACTGGACAGTGTCTTCCTCACTTTCACTATCTTTTCCTATTTCCTTTTTCAACTGAAGCTTAGTTTGTTCTCTGATATGGCAGGTCATTCCTGATGGTTTCTGGATCTGGAGTATCTTGTGCAGACAGGTATTTATAAGTACTTGCACTGTTTTGGTAGTGGTAGTTTTTAGTTTTAGTTTCGTACAACACCATTGTTTTAACGTCAGTGTTGAAAATCATAACTTTGGTTATTTATGACAGCTCTCTTAAGTTCCAGATATTCTTCAATTACAAGAATGCTGCCTTTGTTTTTCCAGTTAGTGCCTCCATATCGACATTATATCTTACATGCTTAGCAATGAAGTTTCCCACGTACGTAAAGGCTTCTGTCTCTTCATGAGTTTCTTCGTCAAGTGTGATTTGACTACTACTTACTAATGTATTTTAGAATCTTGCTTTCTCCCTCGTACATACTAAGGTTTACTGCTGTGGAAGCCGATGCTACACTGAGGGTTTTGATCTGGATTTGTTGCAGTATATGAGATAGAAGTCATCTGCTAAATCCAAGTCGTCTGGCTGCATTTTACGTGTCCACTGTATTTATTTGATTTTATTGAGGCATGGAGATCTTTATAATGCATTCAACGATCAAGAGAAAAGGTGGAAACAGGTGACCTTGTCTAAAAACAGTTCTAATTAGCAATGCATCAGTGAGTTGCTATCCATGCACAACCCTGCAATTCAGTTCGTCCTTGGAGTTTCGAGTGGTGATTTTTTCAAGCACTCCACAGTGTTGAAGATTGTACAAGTCCTTCCTATTCACAGTGTTGAACCGTTTTTCATGATCTAGGAAGCTGACGTAAAGTGAAAAGTTCCATCCGACTACTTGTCCAACAATGACAGCAGTGTCGCGATACACTCAGTACATGATTGACCCTTAGGAAAGCCAGCATTTTAATCGAATTTGGATGTCTATCAAATCTTTCAATCGGTTCAGCGACACTGTCAAAAAATTCTAGTACTAGCAGTAATATGACACCTCTGTCATTCTCAAGATCACCAATAGCTCATTGCGTCACTATCTTGATGATACGTTTGTTTTTCCAGCCTGTTGGTACTTGTTCTTTCAGCCAAATCCTGAAGAACAGAATGTAGGAAATCTCTGCTGTTATTTCTAAATATCTGGTAATTATGACTTGCCATTCTTGATTAATCTAAGCTTTGCTAATTTCCTCTGTAGTTAATGTGCATATTCAAAGTACAGTATGTTTGCTTCTCAGCATGACGCACTTCTAAGGTTACTGCCGGTTCAAAGCCCGGGTAACGAAGGAGGGCTGGGCATGTGGTCGACAACTTCTTCCAGTAGAACACAAACTTGCTAAACAAAACGCTAACCAGAAACAATCTTTGAAACAGTCTAAACTGAAGTTCGAGAGTTGAAGGATCTTCATTTAGGAGAATTATGACGACTCACAATGAAACACCAGCTTCTTTGGAAGTCACGAGACTGACTGATGTCCCTTCTAACAACCAGAGAAACAATTAATATCGGTACACAGAATGCTCGAACAATGCGGAAGACCAGGAGGATTATTCAAATGGCTGTGGAAATGACAAGATACAACCTGATGATGCTCGGAATGAGTGAAACCCATTATACATAGAACATCTTTGCAGTTACTTCTATTTCTGACTTCAGTGATTCAACTAGTATGTTTCTATGAGTAGATTTTGTAAGCCTTGAGACATGTTGCTGAAACCGAAAGTACTTGGTTCGAGACCGGCTTGTGGTATTATGAATACGAATTGCTGAGTGGTCCCATACTAGAACGAAACGGCCGCCAGTGCTTCAAAGTTTCCAATGGTAGTTTAACATTGATCTATCCATGGTCTCAAATATAAAATGGTTGTGGGCGGCACAATTCCACCCCACAAACTTAAACACAAAGCTACATGTGTTTCACCGGACCATACCACAGAGAACCAGATCGACCATAACTGTACAAAAAAGTTCAGAAGGTTCATGGAAGACATGTTAACAAAGAGGATAGTTAATATAGCTTCTGATCTTTACCTGGTTGTGACCGAAATGAGACTAAAGCTAAAGAAACACTGGAAAACTACTGGAGAAACAGACTTACAATCATTTAGTACAGTCTTCGTTCGAGATACTCACAAACTCAACGAATTTGAAATAGATCTCAGCAACAGGTTGCAAATTCTTCAACATCTACTCAAAGAAGCATAGAAGCTGAAGTACTGAAGCCAGACATAGAATTAACTGTAAAGATGTTCCACGTTCTATTCAGGAAGATTTGGAAGGAAGAACAAGTGTCGACAGACTGGAAAGAACGTTACTTGATTAAAATACCAGAGAAAGGTGATCTGAGCAAGTGTGAGAACTGCAATGACATCACATTAATACCAATGCTAGAAAACGTTTTCAAAAGAATGTTGCTGAACCGAAGAAAGGTTCAGCAGATGCCCAATTTCGAGATCAGAAGGTTGAATTCCTTCGGATCGAATCCGCCAGAGAGAACCAGTTCCCTCAAGATTACAGGTACACCTTGCTAATGAGTGCCAAGTAGCACGAAACCCGGGTCCAGGGTTTCCTGTCGACTACCTCCAACCACCATCTAATTATCATACATCACTTGCCTTGAATATGGGAAAGCGTTTGACCACGTGAATAGAAGAACCCTATTGAACGTTCTTCAACACTATAGTGTACCTGAGAAGATCGTCAACATCATCCGGAATTCATACGACGGACTACACTGAAAAGTCGTACATGGAAGACAGCTGACAGATGCATTCCAAGTGTGGATAGGTGTCAGACAAGACTGCTTACCCTTTCCTTTTCTCTTTCTTCCGGTGGTTGACTGGATTACGAAGACCTCTACATCTCAGCGGAAGCATGGAATGCAATGGAGAGCTTGGATGCAGCTAGATGATTTGAACTTAGCAGAAGACCTATATGTTCAATCACATACACAGCAACAGATGCAGGTGAAGACAACCAATGTAGTAGAAGCCTCTACATCAGTAGGCCTCAACATTCACGAGGTAAAAAACAAGATCCTCAAACACAAAAAAGAGGGCATCAGTCAAGCTGTGGAAGAGGTAGAAAGTGGTAAGTAATTGTGCAGGATCATTGATGAACAATGAGGATCTGATGGATATATGGAGGCAAGAATTGACAAGGCAAGTGCAGCATTCATACAACTGAAGAACATGACATATGTTAATCGAGATGACTGTCAGCCAACGTTAGTCAGCATTTTGATTACAAACGTGGAGATAGTTTTATTGTACGGAGTTGAAACTTGTAGGGCTACTACTATATTACAGAAAGGTACAGTTATCCATACAAAGTTGTGTACGTAGGGTACTCAGTGTCAGTTGGTCGGGTAGCATTAGTAATAACCTACTTTGGGAGAGACCAAACCTTCTTTACTCGGGCTTTGGACCAGCAGGAATCTTGGCAGGGCTTCAGGAAGGGTTAATAGCACATTGACTAATAAACCATTGGAGATAAAAACTCTTTGGTCACAATAAAGTGGTTGAAAGTCGGATCAGATGAAGGATTTTGGCGAGGAAAAGATTAAACTTTATGATAGAATAAAAGGGTAACGAATGTACGGTTTCCCTGAAATTGACGTGTGAACAAAACAGGCATATCACTCCTCCATATAATTTCAGTGATAAGGGAAATAAAGGATTGAGGTTTGTTATATTTATGAAAGTGAATTTGAGGATAAATTGTACATACTTTTTTGAGCGACAACGCAATCTTTCAGATTCAGAAAGTACTTTAAGTACACTTTAGATGAGAACATCACGCCTGATATTGATGTTTAACTAGAGAAAATAAATTGTGATTAGTCATTGATCGCAGATTAACAGGCGTTCAGCTTACTGACTATTCAATGTTATTTCCATCCTACTGATGATTCCTACTTTGGACTTAATGAGTGTAGAGTGGTTTTAATTGTGTTGAGTAACGTATTGTCTAGTCTATACTCTGGTTCTCTATATTTGGTCATGAATCGCGTATTTGGTACCATGTGATTCTACACTGTGAAAAGTGTATCGATCAAGTGCCCAGTCCGATGATATAGTCTTGGTTACTGGCAGTATTGTATATTGATAGTAGTGATCGACAAACAAAATATTTTCATGTTTCCGTTATACCAATTAGGGGAAGGAATATTTTCATATCTGACGTTATCAAATATAGTCAAGATATACTTTATTCTTAATCAATCAGAGTACTAGTCACAAGTTCTTTTGCTGATAAGGGTAAGAAATACGGATATATATGATTATGAGTACTAGTTCTATTCGTGTACTACTCTAACACTTGAAAAAAAGTTTGCTTATTTTCCAAACCTTAGAATTTACGAGATTTAAAAAGTCGTATGTATTTTCTATTCTTTAATTTGTTTTATTTTTGCAGATACATTTAACGTGTTTAGCTTTTTCCTCTCCTTGTTTTTTAATTTGATACTTTTAAATTTTGTTGTACGGATGCAAGATTTAGATAGCTAGAACTAGTGCATATTTATGCTAGGTATAACCTTATTCACAGTAAGTAGTTAAATAAATATAAAACAGAACAAGTAATAGAATACTGATGACACCAGTAAAATAAGTTTGAAAACACAAACACTGTGTTGATTATTAGTGGGAGGGAAGGGAAAAGCTACATATAAGCCACAAATGTTAGCAGTATTCAGTGTGGATTAGGGTGATGAATTTACCGTTTGAGGGATTCCATCGGTAGATGGTGCAATCCGAACTTGTTTTTCTGATGAACTTGAAGTAGGCAAGCAAGTAGAACAGAAACGAAACATACCAGTCATTCGATTGGTACATTTTCTATGGCTGGTTGGAGACTAAAACAGGTTGTATGCAAAGTTTTTTTAAAGATAAACAAGCTTGAGTTATAAAGTGTAAATATCTAAAAACAACTGGTGAATTTACAAGTGCAGTTTCTATAAGGCAGTTGTTAAGAAAATAGAATAAAATAGTCTGACAATGAAATATCCGAAATCCAGAATCAAAACTCAACAAGTGCTTATTAAAGTTGATTGTCATCGATGTGGTTACTTTACAGATAAATGATGTGATCTGCACAGTATAAAAACCTTATGAATACCAGAAGCTTTCATCGTCTGAGTAACTAAGACATCGGTTGTTATGTAGATCGATTTGTTAGACATACAAAAACACAATGAGTCATCACATTCTTTTTGCCTGGAACTTGAAGCTCTTGCAGCCGATCTTGAATCATGAACTTTCCCTTCTCTACACATTAACAATAACAAATATTTTTATGTTGTATACCGCTGTGATTTTAAAAACGAAACATGCCACCGATTTGACAGTTTGTTTTACACAACTTAAAAATAAACTGCTAATAAATCCTTATGCGATAAATGTAGGTAGTGATATTTAAACTCTATGTGGGTTTTAAAAGTTACCTAAAACCAAATCAAAGAATTCTAATAGGATTATAATACACTGAATGATTAAATATTCTAATTTTTACGCCAATTTAGTGTCCAATAATAAACTTGGCTATAAATACAAAAATGCATAATATGTTTTTTGGACCTAGATTTTCAAAGGCAAGCAAACGAGCACATTACACACTTCATGTTTTAATTTCTAAGGTTGCTTTAAGGATTGGTTAGTACAGACTGAGGATCCATAACAATTCGTAGAAAATTACTGAAAAATACGAGACTAAAAACTCAAACTTATTACAATTCTATCAAAACAATTACCTTATTAATACCAGTTAGAATCAAGAACACATTATAATTAAAGTTCATTTGAAAATTTTAATATTCATTAAAAATTACATTGTAACACTACGTGCATGTGGAGTACGATGCGAACATTATGATGAGTTGTATACCTATGAACTATTGAATCATACCCTTCCATTTAAACAGAAACTCATAAAAATCACATCAAAGTAAATACAGATATAATGTTCAACAACAAAGGATAGATTCACGCATCCACCATACGGTCATAATAATTTTAAACAATAGGAACTGTTAATCAAGCTACATTAAGTAATGTCTCCATATATGAGTGTTCTTAGGTAACAGTTGTATGTTTATAATGCGGCCGATCTTATCATTTTTGGATTAATTTAGCAGATTTGGACCGTGGTGTAGCACTACATGGATTGTAAGGAACAAGACACTAAAAAAGAAACCTTTTCACTTTAAGTTTGAGGTTCTCAGTTTGAGACTTTATCAACGCTTTTCCATACCAATTATTTGATGTTATAACAGGGAAGCCAATCTACATGAACAGAATATTTAAGATACTAACTTTATTAAACATTCACAGAAATTGGCGACTTTCAGACAAACATTTGTAGATGAGATGTTGGTATAACTCAACAACCAAATAAAGATTAAGTTAATGGGTTGTGGGACACTAAGTAAGAAAACTATCGATGCTTCTCAGATATCTTAACTGAAGTAGTTAAATATAGGTTAATGAAAGTGAGACTCTTTAAGTAATCGCATCCCCAAATATACTCGCAGATGGTTAGAAAGATGTCTAGTTATTTTGAAACGAGAAAACATATTTTGAGAATAAAGAAACTGAGACGAATATAGATAAGGAAATGTAACAGTAACATATGATAGAGATGGACCTTAACATTGTGCGGTTTTACTTAAAATAAACAGGGATCAAAGTGACAATTAGCATTTGAATCATACATTATAATACTAAATTCGCTAATAAAATTTGCTCATTAAATGTGATTGAAGTTGGTGTCACTGTAGAACCAGAAGCGCCTAAAGCCCCTCCATACAGGCACTAGCACTTAAGCATGGGGTATTTGTAGGTAAATATATATAACTAGAAGTGTATCGGTTACCTTTAAAAATTAAGTTCGAATACCTTATAGTGATTGTGTCAATTCACATCAATTGTAAGAAATTAAAATTATTTAGTGGAAACTGTGATACAGCAAATGACTATTCACCCAATTGAACTGAGCAGTACTCCGAAAATAGTTGATTAGTTCGAAACAAATTAAGCAAATTTCACCTTTTTTTACAAACCTATGATTCTGCCAGCAAATCAATTCTCACTCAGACCTACTTACTTTAGGCTTACTCATAATCCCAATTACTAGTTCTAGAAGTACAGTCTAAACAAAGACCGTAGATTTCAATTACGAATTCACGTGAACAACTAAATACAAAAATTTAGGAAGAATCCATGAGGTTGGTGAAAGAGGCCGCAAAAAAATCAGGTCAGAACATTAATTTCATGCCTATGTCCGAAAGTAAACTGCCGGAAGTAAACACAAGACGCGTGTCAACAAAAAAAACTATGTAAACAAAACTGTTAAATAAAAACGCTGCGGGTACGTATACTTCTTTAAGGTTTAAAAACAAGAAACAACCCCTACTTTGTAAGATTTCGCAACATCCCCTGTAGTCGACATTTGAAACGGGGTGCCTGTGGAGTCCATGGATTTGAAGATTTATAACAAATGCTTTCAGTATCCAATGCCTTTGTGGCGAGCTTACGAAAATTAATCGTTCTGCTTGCAACCGCCTTTTGACAGATACAAATATACAGGATTTTTGCTTAAACTATTAGTTCATAACGAAAACAAGTATTGTACTTGATTAATAAATTAAATATGGAAATTAAGAGAGTATCTATTTACTCTTCTACCAATGTAACTGATTTGAAAATGATGACAAATGTGAGTGATCTTAGAAGTTCAGAGTGTAATACAGAAGTGTAAATAGATTGACATGAAACTACCAAGCCAACTATTTGAGTGAGTGGAATCGTCTTAAGTGAGGCGGGAATCTGCAAGAAACCTTAACATCTGACGCGACACAAATTACCAGACCCAGGTGATTTGCATCCACCCCTTCTTAAAGGCGATGGTGAAATTGTGGATGAGAAAGTGATTGAGATCTTTGCAAATGCTTGGCGATTAGAGAGTTTTCCAAAATCACGGATAGCTGTCCATATCTTTTAAAAGGGTTCAAGTCGTTTCTGAAACAACTATCTGGAGGATAAGCCTAAATCTAATTTCGTCAAAACTGTTAGCTTCTGTCGTTATTAGCAGATTGTTTGAAACCCTAGAAAGATTGACTCGCGAGATGCAGGCCGGTTTTCGTTCAAAACGATCATGTATTGATCATATTTTCACCCTCCGCCAAATATAATAACACGATCATACTTATTACAGGACAAGAATTGTAGCACTTCTTGACATTACGGCTGCGATAGTTTCGTTGGACAGGTCTGTTTTTTGGGTTACCTATTGAAGTATGTGTCTGAGCGATATATCGATAACTTAAAAGCATACACGATGAGTCAATGAGACCAGTTTTTCTCTATGCCTGTAAAAACTAGCCTCTCTGTGTTGAAGATGTCAGTTAACTTTCAGTGTTTGATCATCTTTGTCTCCGAAAGATTGCTAACATCCAGTGGCAACATCATGTCAATAATGCAGAGGCTCTGCATCATGTGTTCAGGCACAGAGACGACGATTCAATTAGTGTCATTATCTCGAAACGTCGACTTTGATGGCTTGGACATGTCCTACGAATGTCGTCCGAGAGAATTCGACATCGTGAATTATTTGCCGATGCTGGGACTGATTGGTTACTTTATGACATGGTGTTGAGGTATGAAAGAAAGCTGTACAGGATTGGCTTCTGTCATTCCTTCACGACTCCTGGTAGGGGTCCTAGAGATGGTTGGACACAGTGCTTTGAGACATTAACAAATATGACTCAGAATGGAAGCCAGTATTGATCCTGATGTAACTTAGTTTTACTTTCTTCATATAAATGAACGTGACGTCTTTAACTGAAAGAATCCTATCCGGATATATGTTTGCTAAATGAACTTCTAATAATATTACACTCATCATTATTTGTTTCTCATAACTTAATTTCTATTCGTTGTTGTTCGCCATTTTCTTATACGCGCTTTACATTATCTATCTCTATACAACCTCATTGTTACTGTGTGATGCATACGTATTTGGTGTTCTTTTGTACCAATGTTTATGTGTTCAAATATATAAATTAATTAAATGTGTACAATGATAATGAACTTCACTGAATTTCGTAGTTCGATCTTTCGTGATCGCATGACTCTCTGTGCCTGTTCTACTGCGTTTGAATTTACTTACTATTCGTATATTAGATATTCATATAGTATGAAAAGTCCAGCTGGAAGTCATAAAAATTGATACTAATGACAGCATTACAGACCTCGGGATTTATAATATTAAAATATCTTGATAAATGTCCTTAATGTCATGGATTTCGTTCCGGAATGTGTATTGACTGACTCATTTGGACTACTTGACTGATATGTTTGATGTAGCGTAGTTGGTTCGTCATAACGTAACTGAATTATCCAGTAGAATCTTACGTCCTGGTCATACCAACTTCAAACCTGACTAGCATATAGAGTCAGGGCTTCGTGATAACTTGGTTTACTGTTTACCATTCTTCATTGTTCTGATACGTACTCGAAGTAGTTCTTCATGTACACACTTGGCTCAGGTGCATGAACAAATCATACAGATTATTCCACAAGCCCTATACACAGAACCAAGATCAGTCTGTGCAACTGCAAGTGAGAACTACTTCTCATTTCGTCATGCATCCAGGACGTTTAGATGGATTTTCCGTACATAAAGTTAGGCAGCCATCATTAGATACTTTTTGCTCATAAACACTATAGTTCTTTGGATTTTACGCGGACAGATACCCAACAAACTCTGTAAAATCTACGCAAGCAGTTAAGAAAGAAAAAATGTTTCAACAGCAATAAAAAAGGACAACAATAATAACACCATGACGTGAACAATAATTCAGTAAGTCCTTTGGAACAACACTTATGTCATCGACTGCATGGAAGTTAGAAAGTCTCATTTTAAAAAATTGCTCTACAAATTATATATTCCGAACTTTTTCGCTTCAGAAAAGCCTTCATATCTAACTATTGGCCACAAAAGTATCAGGAGCCAATAATGGAACTCATTTCATGGAAAAAGAGTTTAACAGTTGGATTACTGATATTGGATGCCTGAATCTATTTACAGCTCTAAGACATCATCAGTCAGAAGGTTTAGCGGAAAATGTCATTCGGACTTAAACAGGTGCTATAACATTATTGAGCTCATGTAATCTAGCAGAGCTAGAAAGATGTTTTGATAATTCTTGTTTCAATATCGTATCGCAGAACATCCAATATTTCATGGTAGTTAGGCTAAACTCTTTAAAACCCATACACTTTGAATTCATTTAGTAAACAAAATATCATCAAAAGTGAAGTTTTGATGATGAAACGACTACCAACTACCTCACATACTTACGCCTGTTACACCCGAAGAAGAATAGGCCGCTGTGGCTGCTGCTACATTGTTTGTCTTCTCCCTCACTTGTTGTTGCGTGTGAGATAGAAGAGCCAGATCATCTGCGAAGTCTAGATCGTCCAGCTGCATTCTAGCTGTTCACCGTACCCCATGCTTCCCTTCAGATGTTGACGTCTTCATGATGCAGTCAATCAGCAGGAGAAGGGGAAAGGATGAGAGTAAGCAACCTTGCCTGACACCGCTCTTCCCGGTTACTCAATATTGGTGATTACTTCGCCCTCCTTGGATTCGTGAATCGATCCAAGTTAGACCACCATTAAAAACCTGAAAACACCGGACGACCGTTTCATCCTAGTATGGGACTCCTCAACAGTGCGCATCCACAATCCCACATGCGGGAATAGAACCAAGGATCTCTAGACTACTGGACCAGTGTTAATGTCTAAATTCAATCGATTCATGATCTTGAGTAACCATTCATTCATTGTTTGAGGTAGATCTACCCGATACAGATCGGACTCCATTAGTCATGTCTTCTCACTAGAGCTCTAGGAAATCCATTTTGAAGTCAGTCACTAGTGAGTACATAATGATTATTACCTGAATGGAGGTTTGGAGAGATTATATTAATCATAACAATTGAATACAATGGTAGTCTAGCATAGATAGATTTATGAATTCAGCTACGATCTCCACAAGTCCGCAATGTGATAATAATTCGAATTAGACCTAAATCTAGGAAAATTCAATTTATCAGAAACAAAATGAACCAATTTTGAGTTTATGTGTACCATGTTAAAAATAAATGATTTTTATCCATTCAACATTTACATAATCATAATCAAGAATTTTCTTAGAAAATATGTGGTTATTATAATTATGAATTTATCTAATACTTACTTCACTGATACTAAAATTTATGGATGAACCAATCAGGTATAAGATAGTAGGTCTTGGGTTTTGGTGTGAAATTCATTTATCCATTTGGCTAAATAGCGTTTTGGCATTATGAGTGATTTAAGTTCGTGATGAAAACCCTAAATCTAATTCTTAACGTTAACCATCAACTGTAAATCGAAATTCGAATTCCTCACAATAATTTATAACCCTCATTTGGTCCTAGTTAGTCGGTGTACACTCTCAAGGTCACTTTGGCGTCACTCAAATGTTCATAAAGTATGGTCTCATCATCGCTTCCTTCACATATAAATATTGCTTAACATGTAAATCAACTTGTTCGTTATCTTGTCACTATTTACATTATTCATAGTAAATTGTTTACGAAAATTTCTTCATGCCAGTTCATTGAATAATTTAGATAAAATGATTAAGTTAGTATAACTCCTACAGCATTTCTAGTGTTAATCAAAGTTCCAAGGTCTGATAATGGAGATGAGTTAAGCATAGATGTGACAACCCCGTAATTACTTACGCCTGTTACTCCCAATGGAGCATAGGCCGCCGACCAGCATTCTCCAACCCACTCTGTCCCGGGCCTTCCAGTTCTACTCAATTTTTGTTCATTATTCGCATGTATGTCTCCATTTCCCTGTATAATGTGTTTTTTGGTCTTCCTCTTTTCCTCTGGACTTGGGGATTATATGTGTGGACCTACCTTGTGACACAGTCGAGTGATTTCTTCAATATCCATCCTGTTTGCTCCCAGCTCTTCTACCTGATTTCTTCCTCCACTGGGATCTGGTTTGTTCTCTACCACAGTAGGTTGTTGCGGATAGTGTCTGACAAATGAATCCGAAGTACTTTGCGTAGATAGCTGTTAATAAACACTTGTATCTTCTGGATGATGGCTTTCACATTTCCACGGGTTTCCACACCATACAATAGAACTGTCTTGACATTTGTATTGAAAATTCTGACCTTGGTGTTAGTTACCAATGATTTTGAGTTCCAGATGTTATTCACTTGTAAATATGCTGCTCTTGCTTTACCTATCTGCGCCTTCACAGTTGTATCAGATCCACAGCGTTTATCAATGATGCTGCCCAGATATGTAAAGGTTTTTACATCTTCTAAATCTTCTCCGTCGAGTGTGATTGGATTGTTGCATGTTGTGTTGTATCGGAGAATCTTGCTTTTCCCTTTGTGTATGTTGAGACCTACTGCTTCTGAGGCTGCTGCTACACTGATAGCCTTCTCCTGCATTTGTTGTTGCAATTGGGATAGAAGGGCCAGATCATCGGTGAAGTCTAGATCGTCCAGCTGCATTATAGCTGTTCACAGTATCCCATGCTTCTCCTCAATGTTAACGTCTTTATGATCCAGTCGATCACTAAGAGAAAGAGAAAGGGTGAGAGTAAGCAACCATGCATGACACCGGTCTTCACTTCGAACGACTTTGTCAACTGTCCTCCATGCACGATTTTGCAGTTTAATCCATCATATGAATTATGTATGATATTGGTTATTTCCTTAGGCACGCCGTAGTGTCGAAGAAGCTTCCATGGTGTTGTCCTGTCCACACTATCAAATGGTTCTTCGTAGTCACTGACGTTGATGTAGAGTGATGAATTCCATTCAATTGATTGTTCCACAATGATCCGTAGAACTGCGATTTGGTCTGTACACGATTGATCCTTACGGAATCCTGCCTGTTGGTCTCGAAGTTGGGCGTCTACGGAGTCTTTCATTCTGTTTAACAATACTCTGTTTAAGACGTTTCCTGATATTGAGAGAAGAGTGATACTCCTGTAGTTATCACAATAGCTGAGATCGTCTTTCTTTGGTATTTTGACCGGAAGTCTTTCTTTCCCATCTGTTAGTACTTGCTCTTTATCCCAAATCTTATTGACGAGAACGTGGAGTATACTTGCAGTTACCGCTACGTCTGCTTTCAGTGCCTCCGCTGGAATGTTGTCTGGTCCTACTGCTCAGCCACTCTTGATTTGTTTGACGGCCATGCTGATTTCTTCAATTGTTGGTGGGTCAACATTGATTGGGAGGTCCGTGGGTGCTGCTTGGTTGTTGGGTGGGTACAGTGGAGCTGATCAATTCAAGAGTTCTCTGAAGTGTTCTACCCACCTGTTTCGCTGTTCCTCGATGTTGGTGAATACTTCGCCCCCTTTGCTTTTCACTGGTCATTCTGGTTTACGATAATTTCCAGTGAGTTTCTTTGTTATGTCATACAGTTTTCTCATATTTCCTTCTCTTGCAGCCTTTTCAGCCGTCATTACTAAATTCTCCACATATTTACGTTTTTTGGTTCTGATGGCCCTCTTCACTTGCTTGTTTACTTCTGTGTATTCAGCTTGTGCCTTGGCTTTCGCTGCTCTTGTTCGGCTGGTATTGATTGCTGCCTTCCTGTTCCTCCTTTCTTGAATCTTATCCAGTGTATCAACAGTGATCCATTCCTTGTGATGGTGCTTCTTGTGGCCCTGACATGTTGAAGTGATTGCCTCTTTTATCCCTTTCCAAGTTCTCTACATAGTAGTTTCCTCTTGATGGAGTAGATCATGAAAGGCCTGGAATCTGTTGCTGAGGGCTATCTTGAATTTGTTGAGTTTGTCAGTATCCCAAAAAAGGCCGTATTAAACTTTTGTGATATTGTCCACCCCGTTGTCCAGTACTTCTTGAGTTTCAACTTCACCTTGGTGACCAGCAAGTGATGATCTGATGCCATATCAGTTCCTCTCTTGATTCTCACATCCTCCATCGTCCTCCTGAACGTTTTGTTGATGCAGATACGGTCGATTTGGTTCTGTGTAGTGTGATCCGGTGAAGTCCATGTGGTTTTGTGAATGCGTTTATGTGGTGATATAGTGCCTCCTATGATCAGTTTATTGAAGGCACATAGATTTGCGAATTTCTCATCATTTTCGTTCCTTTCTCCCAGTCCATGTCGTCCCATGATGTCTTCATATCCAGTGTTATCCGTCCAAGCTTGGCATTGAAATCTCCCATCAGAATGGTCAGGTTCTTTGTTGGGTACTTCTCCACGATTGAATGCGGCCTATCGTAGAATTGATCTTTAACCGTCTTCATTGTAGTCGTTAGTAGGCGTATAGCATTGGATGACGTTAATTGAAATGCCCTCTTTCTTTGTTTTGAATGAGGCTTTGACGATCCTCGGTCCATGAGATTCCCATCATATAAGTGCATTTTGTGCTTGTTTGGACAGCATCAATGCGACTCCTTGTGTATGTGAGGCATTTTCTTCTTCATGGCCGGAGTATAACAGAAGCTACCCTGAAGTTAGTCGTTGTTGTCCAACTTGCGACCAATATTTTTCACTGATCCCAAGCACCTCCAGGTTGTATCTTCTCATTTCTGCAACAATTTGGAAGATTCTCCTAGTCTCCCTCATTATACATGCATTCGATGTACCTAAATTAATGGTTGCTCTGGTTGTCAGGAGGTGCATCATCCTCGTGGCTTCCAAAGGAACTTGACTTTTACTATGAAGCGTCATAACTCTTCTAAATGAAGACCTTCTGACTCCCACGGCAGAGTTTAGGTGGTTTGAATAAATTTTTCTGGTTAGCGATTTTTAGAGCGTTAGTTTTCTACGGGATGGAGTCGCTAACTCAATGCCCAACCCTCTTCTTTTGTTCGGGCTTGAGACCAGCAGTAGCCCCTGTAGGGACTCCAGGCGGAGTTACCAACTGTCTGAGGAGGATTATAATTCAGAGAATAGGTAATCAATGAGTTCAATGTATATATATATATATATATATATATATATATATATATATATATATATATATATATATGGAAATCAGAATGCCTAACAATTGAGATCTAACAAAATCGCCAATAAACCCAGATCACATTATAGGCACATAGACAGACAATCAACGTGCGGTTATTATGGTGAATAACCAATACATTTATTGTATAGCTCATTCAAACCTATAATTACAATACAATACAATCTCATACTGCTTACTTCGAATTTGAATTTTTCCATTGTGTCTTGTTGGTGTTCTAGAATTATGGGGATTAGTTCTATTTCGCTATATTATATGTACAGTCGGACAAACATATGATGGACCTGAGAAGACGTACAGTAGACTTATGGAAAATGAATTCCTATTTAAGCTGTGGTGGTTGTGGTATTTGTACTGACTGGTGATTCATTTGAACTTGATTGCACTCTGATTACGAATTTCAAATATAGTACATTCATTTGTGCTCATCTACTTCTACCTTTCTCGATCTGCACTACTTCGGGAATTTTCAACGCATTAGTTCGAATGCTTCTAAATTTCATATTAATCTACGATAATTTCACTCTCATGAATGTTAATATGAAGTATTTAATTGTTAACACTCCAGCCTGAAGGTGAACGCTAAAACATTGAGTTTATAAACGAAAATCCTACACTTTATTGTAAAACCTCATCAGATTACTAATATAGTACAATCATATTTAAAGAATCAAATGAAATACATACTAAGTATTGAAAATGTTTCAGTCAGTCAACTTTAAGTTTTTACCGAAAGCAAATGACTAATTTATTCCACCTAAATTGAACTTGACAATAAAGTGAATATATTTCGTTACTACTGATTTGTCAAGGCCAACTAAAAGAAAACAAAATATAAGTTTCAAGTCATTTGAGAAAATACACTGTTTATTTCTTAACAATAAGCATACAAGCATTTTCAATTTAAGTTATTCAGAATACGCTCACCAGTTTTCAGCGCTCAAGTTTCTAATTTTCACGTCGTTATGGAGACTTTAAAAGTTTTTGTATCCCAGTTCAGCCTATTGAGTTCTCCAATTACTTTTGATATTTGGGCAACTGATCGTGATATTCATATGTGATCAATACACCTTCAGGTTGACAACAACTTATAAATTCATCAAAAATAATCCATTTATTGAATCCTGTTCATCGCTGACAATGAATACATTTCATATCTGACAATATTTTGTCAGTAGAATATTCTGTTTATGGAGTTGATTTATTCTTCTGAACTCACCTATTCATAAATAAAATTTCAAATCGTCTCAACCAACAGATGCTAATCCAGGTCTCATTTTACGTATTACAACAGACAAAAATAATACTGTTTACATCGTGTTCAGTTGCATTGATCTTTCAAGTTATATGGTGTCGTCTATGATGATAACTGAGCAAGTAAATCATAGTTTTGCCAATGAATAATTCAAATTATTATTCAAACTAAAAAGATTGCCGAGTTTTTTCTTCAACATATGTTTGGTACAGTACATAGGCTCATACAGCCCCTTAATAAAATGGTTTGCCCATCTTTAAGATAGAGACAAATAGCGAGGAGGGTCAGTCATACGTTTTAATTAAAAAATGACGACGAGGTTACAAAATTTAAAAAAAGAAAGATGAAGGAATAATTTTATATTATGAAACTTGATTACATCTCATATTACTTCAACGTATTACCAGTTCAATCTACTTGGCATCAGCATAATGACTTAATGATGTAATGACAAGTACTTTACGGTTTAATCATTAAACACAGGTCCTGTCACTTTGCTTAACTTCGTTAATCCCTGTAGTACTATGATTATAATTCCATAATTCTATTTCTTCAGAATTATTGTCAATTGTGAAAGTTTCTTGTTCCAGTGATTGTGAGTTTTGTTGATGTTCCTGGGGTTGTTGACTATATTCTCTTCTTGATAAACGTTTTCTCATTGTTTCATCACTCATCAAACCAACTTTTGTACGAATCATAACTGGTATAGCGATTAGAATGATTGCAACGAAATTTCCCAACATATGATAGGCGAATAAATTTGCAGCTGCCGGTATACTCTGTTTAGCTTGCTGATCCCATTCTGGCATCCATGATGTTTTAGGATATAGAATAGCTCCAACCTACAGTAATAATGAAATAACAAGAATGATCTACAGAATATATATATATATATATATATATATATATATATATATCTTTCCACTTTCGGTAAATTATAATTTGGTTATCTTGTGACAAATTTGAAAAGTGTTATAAACATTATGTTTAGAAAACGATATTCAGCTGGGTACTGAAAGGTTTGGGTTATATTCATGGGAGAGGGAGGCAGACCATTGTTATACACTCGTGAGGAGTACCAAAGTAGTCCGAAAAATTCATTTTTCTATATCCCTAACTGCCAGTGGCTGTCAACCTAAAACCAGTTTATAATCCCAATTGTTTTCAGACTGAACAGTCTTCATAGAAACTTCCATCCATAGAACTGAAATATCTTCAACTATTTCTCCCTAATTTAATTAGGAAGTTTTTTTAATGTTTCGTAAGACCATTAGTCAATCAAAGTAAAATTCACTTAGAATATTTTCCGCCTTTACTAACATTTTGTAATATAAGTTATGAAAGTTTGATAAATCCAATTACTATTAATTCCAAAGTCGACTTAAAGTATGATTCGTGGTAGATTGGTCTTAATTAGGGTTCCACTGAAAACGTAGAAGGACTAGATATCTATTTTGTCCTAGTATGGAACTCCTTAGAGGTACATGTTCACAACCCATGACATTTAGGTCTCTTGGCATGTTATTAACAATTCACATACTGTATTCAAAAATCATTGTAATACGATCAAAGTACAACGGTTATCTATTCTTATTAACGACTTCTATTTTACTCCTAACCCCAAATGTGTTAAATCTGTTGTCTGAACACTTATATTTCAATAAATACGAACCAATCAATAATATTTGAGTAGTTTATTTCACATGTACACATATACACACACACTACATAAATACATTATTGACTAGCAACCATGTTCATTTATTCTACATCTTTTATTGTTCTGTTTAAAGATAAAATCTTTAAAAGATTGATGAGTATAGAGTTCAAATTAGAATGAATACAAAAAAAAGCTATACACAGTTAAAATTTCATTGTAAGACATCTCTACATAAACTAAATAATGGATATAGCTTATGTTATTCTTCTAACCTCGATAGAAATGTCCTCATTCATGTACAAATAAGGAGTGATTGATTTGTTTAAAAACATTTTGGTTATAAAATGTTGTATTCATTTATTATTTATGTTACTAACACAAATTGATCAGTCTCTTTTGATATATATATATATGTATCCTATCCTGATTGTTTGGATATGAGATGGAACACATTTTGAATTCCACTACAAGACACTATTCAATTGTACTAAAAAAAATATCACATGAGGAAATTTTAAGATTTTGAAGAACTTTCTGATAATGAACCGATTAGCAAACAAATATATACACGTTGGATAACGATTCAGTAAAATGTTAGATCTACAACATATGCAAACTAGATCAAAACATTTTATAAAGGTAACTTGTTTATTGATTATAATTCCTTTCATTTAATTAAAAATGGAAGACTTATAGTTTAGCTATAACTGAGACATAATGCAGTTCTCCAGAGAAATAACCACAATGAACGAAAAACATCCTTGAACTTTTATTCTGTCAACGTGGATAAATAACGCAGCATTTGCGTTATTAATCAATGTGAATTCTTAAACTAATTGCCTGATATATTCAGTTTGCCAAACAAAATATATCCCTTATCCCGTCATAACTTATCCATCATTTCTATACGAATTATCAGTAATGTTCAAGGGATATTAAATCACTGTGATCTATTCTGTTATATGTGGACTGCTAATTAACTTTGAATTGTGAACACTTAAAGCTTTCATTCATCGGTTTCTAGCATATTAAATATCAGTAATGAAGCCTTTATAATACAGACCATTCGTTAATAACTTTAGTGATTGATGCTTAGGTTAAATATAGCTATTTTTGCTTTTTGTAACCTACGAATATACTAGTCACCGCACATTTTGAAACATGTGGAATAGTATATATACTAAAATACTTAACCGCTTAATCAATTTCTTAAAAAATCTAAAAAACAGTTTTTTTTTCCATTTGGAAACTTCAATAAAAACAGAAAATAGATTATGTGATGTAGGTTAGTTGAGTAAAGCTCAAAAGTATGGATTAAGATACTTGGAATTCTATAGGAAAACCCCCTACGTAATAATCTCACAGAAAAAGTCACTAGGGGATAATAAGATAGATAAATATTTCTTTTTGAATACACAAATTCGGTTTAAATCTTTTTATTGCAACAGCTTCAATAAAGCGTAACAGTTTTGAATTCCTTAGCTTACCGATGAATTTTAAAAATTTTGAAACTTTAACATCATACTCACTGTCAAGCAACTGACGATCAATAGCGTTATTGAAAAGCATCTGTCTGTTAAATCCTAGCTTTTGTGGAATATTTTAGGAGATTCAGATCAAACCAAATGGTCACTGCGACAATCAAATGTGGACAATTACCCAACTTACATTACCTTGAATTGTTTATTAGCTTACATGTATGAATCACATTTATTGGAAGAATATAAGGGGAAGTTTATTTCCGGATGTCCGAACATATTCCACAAAAGCTCAGACTTAACGACCAGATGCTTTCCAATAACGCGATTGATCGTCAGTTGCTCGACAGTGGACATGTTAAAGATTTAAACTTCTCAAAAATCGTCAGTAAGCAAAGGAATCTAAAACTGTTACGCGTCAAGTTTATCAGTTCCTGGTATACAATGTCATAAATGAACAAACTTATGCTATTGTACCAAAATCGATTGCCTGAATTGAGGCACAATAACTGGGATATAAAAACAAAATCTATAATCATACTAATAATGAAAGAAGTATGGTGCAAGTAAGGAACCATCTATTCGATATACTTGACTTTTAAGAATGTGATATTCTAAACACCATATTGCAACAGAGTTTACTGAAATCCAGAAAGCGCACTTTATCTTATTCAGAAATAATCATCAAAGTGTTTATGTTTTTCTGAAATCCCTGTTATCCAGAGCGTTTTATGTTTAATCAGCTAATGCGCTAAACATAGTAAGGTTTGCTAGTCTAAATATTGAGAGTGTAAAAACAAAAATCATCAAGTAGTATGAATGGCATTCACGAAAATGGAAACTGATTATTATGGACAATGGGAATTCAAGAAAATCTTTTGGTTTTTTAGCTTACATAAAGGACAGATTTTAGTTCGATAATTATTGGGAATTAAGAATCACTGGGCAACAATTTCATTCTAGTATGGAACGTTTTATCAGTGCTCATCCACGACCTCATCAATCATAAAATCAAGGATCGTAGCCAGTAAGCTTAATTATGTCGAGTTGGAAGGTGGATATCAGTAATGACGAGTAAAGAATGCCGCCTCAATGTTCTCAAGGTTAAGTTGTCTCTCCGGTTTAAAGGTCTTGGACACGATTCTTCAAGGGATAGTTGATTGCATTGTTAAATAATCTCATACTAGGAGGGGAAAGCTATCAATCACTTTTTGATTTCTACTGATTACCCAAATAAAATCATCATCTAATGTAAACTACAAAGAGACATTAACTTTGTTCTGTCAAATTAACAACACAAATATACGCGCGAAACTGTAAGTTTATAATTATGTTCTGAAATAAAATGCTACCGTAGATTTGCATCAAAACATTGTGCTGTACTAATCAATTAATCAATATTGCTTAATCAAAGTCACCAAGGTAACATTATTTATCATTAACAAAAATAATTGTTAATAAAATAACAGTTTATTCATATTTGAATGAGAAATTTATTCAATTATAAAATGAACATGCAAACCTTGAAATGAAACATAAACTTAATACATCAAGTTAAGTTCTAAATTAGTGTTATGAATGAGTTGTTTGTTAAGTTGGTTTTGAAATTAGGCGAACAGTTTTAACGAGAATTTATATATATCATTCATAGAAGAACACAATTTAAGCATCAGTGTGTCAGTCAGCTACAACGTAGGAGCAGGAACAGATGTGCATCGGTCCAGGTTGCCATATCTCATTAGCACAGCAAGATGAACACCGGATTCATACGAGTGGTTAGGTTAAAGGTGGTAATATATAGGAGAAAGATTGCATATAAGGATACAGTACCGGAATATAGATTTTGTTTGTAGAAAGAAAGATATGAAGTGATTTTAATCTATTAGTTTAATAGAAGACAGGGAGTGTATACACCGACGCCATTGTGATCGATTCTGAGCCATGTCACCAAGAGTCTCCAACCATTGGTTACGAAAGTCACACGGACCCCAACTAAGTAGTGTGCATCTACCAGCATGGCTCAGACTAGAAGTTAGTGACTTCAAGCACTGATGCCACGTTTTGGTTTGGCCGCCCCTTACTTTCTTCCAACTATCTCTAGTGTAGACCATATTACATTTTAATTTAACGTCAGTCACACTAATTACTACTCATTATTACGGTAAAAGCTAATGTTAATGAACAGTTGTAAAATTATTGTCTCAAAATCTTAATTACAATATGAGAAAAATTATCCCATATACTTTCTATTATTGAAATGTAAAAAACTGACATAATTCTATACATCAAACAGAAGACCAAAACATATCGTCAATGAGAAATTACAATTTTTATTAAACTAGGTCTTTTGTGGTGTAGAACTGAAATTGATATGATTATGGATATTTAACTGTCATTCGTTAATAGTAAGGGATTTTTCAACAGTAGGTTAAGCGTTTGCGCGCGAGACCGAAGGCCCTGGATTCGAATCCCGCAAGCAGGATCGTGGATGCTCACTGCTGAGGAGTCCCACGATAGGACGAAATGGCCGTCCAGTGCTTCCAGGTTTCCAAAGGTGGTCTAGCATCAATCGGTTCATGATCTCAATCAAAAACTTAATAATCTCCACAACCCCTATACTAGTGATTTTTCAACAGTTATTAAATTAAATAACAACTTATATTCAGGGTAATAGTGTGTCATTGGTGGATAGCATTCACGTTTAGATTTTGTTACTGTTTACTACTCTAACACTTGAATAATTCAATAACCGGATAAGAATTAAGTTGATCTTTCAAATCAAAGATTGATAACTGAATCCTATTGAAAATAACAGTTCAGATGAACAAATGCATTCATGCCCTAGTTGCACTTGATATACATTATTCTCTACTAGGAATTACAGGACGAATGGAACAAGTAATAATAAAGATCACAAAGGTCAAGAAGTAAACTTGTGGTGACTTATGGGTAGTACCTTATAATGCTTTAATAAATGCTCACAATTTCATAGATTGAAAATGCTCAAAAATGATGTAAATTAGGATTTTCCGTGATGCAACACTGATAAATTAATTAGGCGAGGCTATAATTTATGAACGAACCAATCAGATATAAAATAACAAGTCTCGAATTTCGGAACGAAATTCACTCATCCATTTGATTAAATAGAGTTTTGGCATTATAGCTGATGTCAGTTCGTGATGAAAACCCTAAATCTAATTCCTAACAGTAACCGTCAATTGTAAATTATAATCCTTACTCTTCATACTACTTTATAACCATCATATAGCCCTAGTAAGTAGATAAACATTCCCAAAATTACTTTAGTATCGATCAAAGGTCGTCCATAAATTATAGTCCCACCGTTAATTGCTTACTAAGTTACATAAAAACTAACAGGCTAAAAGTTTAGCATGTGGATGAGCCATTCAGAATCCAGAATGGCTCATATAAGCAACCAACCTTTATCTTATATCTTATGAAGCGAGAAGTAGAACTATTATTGTCCAGTGTTTGATATGTGTAAGTGTTAAGGAAGTAATGTTTTTTTATATAATAGAGTAAAAAGGATAATACTAAACTCACTAATTGTTCACTTATTCCCATGTAGACTGTATATAACACGCCAATCAACCCTGTCACTAAATTCTCATCTTAAACCCTTAATCCTGACTTAAAGCACAACCATAAACCCTTAATTTCTAATCTAAACCCTCACCCTAAATACTTAATCCTAAATCCTAAACTCTAAACTTTTAATCTTCACCCTGTATATCCAACCCTAAATATTTAAGACTAACCAGGATCATTGTGAGAACTTCTAGAAATCTATTGGCAAAGAGGGATAATTTAAATCATTATGAACGAATTTATATGTGACAATTTTCTCGATTTACAGATAAAACAGACTATAGGAGAAAGGCTTCCAAAGTTTCACTACTTCAGTAAAATTTTCTTGGCTATCGTAATATCATTGTTTATTTTCCACAAATTAATCATTTAGAAAAGTTATCTTCTGATTAATTCACAACTGGTCACTTCTATGTTGTATTATCATCCTCAATTAAAAAACTGCTAAACTTTTTCACTCGCAAATTGTTTTCTTAAACATTGTGAGTATGAAAGCTACCTAGGATTTTTATCAATAAAATTTATATGTTTTGAACAAAGTAGAGCCTATTTAGACTCAATAGCTCAATGGATAGTGTGTTGTAATTCGAAACGAAAAATACTGGGTGAGGATCTCACCGTGTACGTCAACATTGGGATGTGACAGGTACATGCAGCTATTGGGTTTTAAATGTAACGAAACGTGCGTCATATATTTCACTGTTAAACACAATTCAACTCGACTATAACTTGAGACTAAATGGCAGAATCCAGGTTCTTTAATCAGAACGAACATATGTCAGACGGAACTGATCAATTCTAGTTCTTAACACCAACAATCAGATAATATAAACTTTAACGAACAAAACTTTAGCAATTAAGACGTAGAAAGGCGTAATAACGTAAAGAAATAAAATAATTCCAGAATATATTGATGGAACTCACTTGCCAAAACCATGTGCCTTGCATAAGATAAGTCCAACTACGTATTAAACCATAAATAGGTTCGTGTGGATTTAATAATTCAAGAACTGATACTAGAATCCCTAATATAATCATACCAGTTAATAATAGATGTAGGTAAACATCTAGTGGATTTCTATGGTGTAAATGAAATAGGAATAAAAATAATTCTCCCCATAGTGCTATTCCATGAAAAAGATATTCTGATTGACTGAAAGGTAAAAAAACAAAGGGGGGAGAGCGTTAAGAGTGATATTAGTGTTAGAAAGAAAACAAGTTCACAAACACGATTTTACACTGGTTTTTCAGTGCACAGTACCAACATTATCATATTCTATCATTCTTTGTGGAGACTGGTTAAGTCTTTAGGTTGTTTTTGTCACAAATTGATCTTGTTTCGAGCATCAATAGAAATCCTGGGGTAATGGATAGATGTTTTGTAGTAGCTTAGGACTTAGCAACGACCCTGACTAGAATAGAACCTAGGACCTTCAAGTTTAGCGGTAAACGCTTTAAGGTTGGGCTTCCGATTGTACGATTGGTTAGCAATTCAATGGCTCTAATGGTTCACCGTGACCTCTGATTAGGTTGTGTGTAACTAGTAATGAGAAGTTCCATCTTTTTTTTAATAGAACAGCTATCCAATACTCTCTGATCATCAATTGTATCTGAAATAAGTCCATAACAATCGATCACCACTCAGTAATCAATCGACTATAAAAATAAAACTTATCTCCATAATCCTTAAAACGAAATTATTACTGATAGATTAATCAGGTTGTTTTGTATGGATTACACAGTAAAAATAACTACATATATTTATTTGGTAATAAAATCGACTTATAAAATGTTCAGATCTAACTAAACTGCTCGTGATTCTATATCATTACTTTCATTGTACTTAAGTAATAAGGTCAGTTAAATTAATAACAAATCATTATATAAAGAATTGAATTATTCTTCATTCAATTAAGAAAGATTATTTTAATGAAATCAACTTGATGATTATCAAAAAGTAGTATGATTATCTTACATTAATGTAGTTGCTTTCCGTATTATTGATATACATTTTTAAAAGAAACATTTTATAACAGATAAATATATGAGTACACTTCTTAAATGATTTTTAATACCAGTTGGAATCAACTTTGATAATCATTGAAATTCAGGATGTTTAAAGTTTTTAAACGATTTGAAGCCATTGCGTCTATGAGAGATCAAACCAATAGTCTTTAAGTTTTTATGTAAGTTATTCAGTGATTGTCTAGTAAGTTTACATTTGAGAATTCATTTAATTTTTGTAGTCCAATATCATCAATAAGTATTTGCTTCACTTTCAACTTGTTTAGAACGATCAATTACGATTAACAACTAATGATCATCATGTAGTGACCCGAATCATGTTTGTGTGGTCTTTTAGTGCTCGTCAAATTCTATCGACCAAGTTGTAACATGATCACTAGTTTAAGTGACTCAACAGTAACTGCCTTATGTTATGTTAGATAACTTGAGTTCGTCTTCTCAGTCATTTAAGACTGGGGGGCCGAGTGATTCAAGTTTGAATTCAACAGAAAATATTACTTTTCTTGCGAGTGTACTTATTTCTTGGTGATGATTCCTGTTTAACATGAAACTTAGGTCCTTAGTTTCCTGTCGACTACCTCCAATTCATATCATGAATTTTCACTAGAACTTCAAAAGACTCTATCTCAGATTTAGATGGTGGTTGGAGGTAGTCAACAGGAAACCCTGGACCCGGGTTTCGTGCTACTTGGCACTCGTCAGCAAGGTGTACCTGTAATCTTGAGGGAACTGGTGCTCCCTGGCGGATTCGATCTCGTGTCACCTCCAACCACCATCTAAATCTCAATACATAGTGCCCGCAGTGTCGAGTCACCTAGACTGGTGGCCACATTGCAACATGATCGATAGCATTCGATCTGGACTAATAAGGACTAGACAAGCAAGACATTGATCACCACCCAGTGATCAATCAATTGTAACTCTATCTCAGAATTAATCGACGCTCAGTACACCATTAACATTTATTAAATTCGAGTGAACACTAGTAATTATTGGAAAATATCATTACTGATAAATTTCAAATCATAAAATGTACTGCGAGAGAAAAAAACTATTATGAGGAATATTGGTTCATAATCATATGAAAGAGACTGACAGAATATATTTCCGTAAAAAAAAAAGAATATCTCTAATCCAAGTATATGTTAACCAAAGCGATTTGTCAAGATATTAGTTAACTTAAACACGATTTATATTACGGACTGACCGTAATATGATAACCTTTGAAAATCAGAAGTTATTACGGTACACATACCTTTGATGAAAATGATCTCAAAACTGTACAAACCATGAAATGGCATCGAAGTAAGTGATAATCTTGCCTACTGATGATCATCTTCGATAGTGATCTGTTTGTAGTTTTATGGACAAATGAATCATAAACTTGCGAAATAAATAAAATCTTTGATAGTACAATAATTCTCGGAGTATGAAATAAAATGAAAATCACGTCAAAAATGTAAACTTTTAAATAATAAATAACAGATCAACTGGTATTGTTATACTTCCCAAGTGACCTAAAATATCATGATCGCCACTTTATACAGAGTCATGAGAGTGAAAATAAGGATGACGTAGTTGTCACACAGAGTTCTTTGATTTTTTTTATTATTCTCTATTTGATTTATATTACAAAGGATCTGATTACATTTTTATAGATTATTTGTGAAGATTATTCAACTTTGTAGTTTACACGATACACTGACTTTGCCTAGATAGTATCTTGACATGTTCTACGAAACCCCGTACTAATTACTGATATTAACAATAATGATAATCATGTGCTCATTAGCAACCAAATTTAAAAGGTCTAATAGTAGTTAATACCTTAATGTGGTGGTCTGGCTTGTCTATCATGATTATTTGAATGGAATATATTAGCTGAAACATTGTGTCGTTTAAATTTCTTAGACAATCAGTATCTTCAGGGCTTATACCCACTCACAATGGAAGTGGAGTTTCAGAAGAGTCCGTGGGTAACCGATTTCAAATATCTGTTTTCTGAGCTCCGTGTTTACATTTCCAGATAGTCAAAATACCCGAAAAGGAAATATCCGTTCGTTCTGTACGCGACTATACAATGAAAACTTTCCATAAATCTCCAACAACACATGAATGATATTTGAAGGGACATTCCTAGAGTTGTAATGAGAAACTATGGTCATTGAGATTCGATGAATTAGGGTCGTAAGACAGGTTATAAATAATGGTCATGTAATACCGCTAACTGATTGAAGTCAAGTGTGTAAACTATTGGGTTTCATTGTACCACACTGAGTATGGATTTAATAACGGTAAAACATGATGACAAAATTATTAGGAACAACTGTTTGCCTAAACGTTATTTTTAAATTTAAAAAATTCTCTGTTGGATTGGCTTCCGGAGAACTTCAACGTAGCCTCTAGAGGCCCAAAAAGGAGCCGAAGAGTCCTAGCCAATCAGAGTATGATGGAACGTTCGAGAATTCCAGCGTGGCGTGCTACCATTGGTCGGTAGCATAATATGTCGTTAACGGATTGGTTGAAATATGATGTTGATTTAACAGACGCCAACATCTATAAATACCCTTGATTTTCTGTACAAAGATGAACCTTGAGATAAAATATTTTCTCTCATACTTGTATCTTCTCTCTGGTGTTCAAATCACTGTGTAATTCTAAACTGCAGGGTACCAGAATAGTTTAGAAACAAGTATAGTGTTCAATTGACAAGACTTATCAATTCTTTTTCATCATTTAATCAATAAATAACATTCAAATTTATAATATAAATTTAATATAAATAATTACTTACATTGGAATTTTAATAATTCTATAAAATATACATAATTCAATAGCTCCACTTAATCCAAATAATGAAAACATTGTAGAATGTTGAGCATTACCAATATGTATAAATATCCAATTTTTATTAAATCCTGTAATTATTTCACCTATTATTCCAATAATACAACATATTAATTTAGCTAATGAATCTAATGGAAATGATTTATTATAATAATTTAAACAATTTTTTATATTATTTTCATTAGATTGTTTACTTTCAATTGGATAAGATATTCTACATGTATATTCATGAATTAATTCATTATTTGATTGATTTAATTTATAAATTTTTCTTTGATAAAATTTCTTGAATATATGCCAAATAGACCATAAACCATAGATAATAAAAAAACTTCCAGGTAAGGCATGTCCACCAAATGTTCCCATTCTTTTTTTTATTTTTTAATTCCAATGAATCTATATTAATGATGATAACGGATCTTTTCAAGGTGATATATATATATATATATATATATATATATATAATATGATATGATTATAAGAATAGGCGTAACTAAAATTCATTATTCAAATGACCAATCAGAAAACAGTTATTTATTTGAATTCAATGAAAGAACACAAATCTGATTGGTTCATTGTAAGAAAATCGATCGAAGTAATGAATATGATTACTTTCTAGTCTATATGAATAAGGTCATTGATAATAAGAATAATATGTTGCGTAATCCAACTATAAATATTCATTAAATAGGTTGTTCATTATTAATTAGAATATTAAAGTGAGAGTGGGGAGAGTCCGCTCTCCCTCTCGAAATACTCTCACACGACCACGCGTATATAGCCTCTGCCAGGGAAGTCCTACTCACTGCCTTCTCGTGGCAGGGGTGTTGTTTACGAAAATGAGAGGACGAAAAGCGAATGTCCGGCGCTTTAACCGGATTCCAAACCAATGGTGCACATGGGCTCCAGTATCCTGCGGGAACAAATGGCGAATGAACCAATTGTTGATCTCCTTACGATGCTCCACTGCCTTGTGGATCAGACCTTCAGGTCGAAGGCTCGGGGTGTGGCCCCCTAAGAAAACCACCTGCTTCGGTTTGGGCACCCGGTCAGTATCACAGCCCTCACACATATCGAATGAGATTTGTGTGGCGCATATGTATTTGGTGCCTCTTTGTACCATTATCTATGTGTTGAAATAAATAAATAAATAATATTAAAGATAAATTTACTTGATATTGTTTTTACTTGAATCATCCCATTGATGTTTTAGGACTGAAATTGATCAGTCTCTTATTGGTATATGTGTATACTGTGCGTATTGTCTCGATATTGCCTTAATTTACAAACATTATAAGCAAAGATAGATAGTGACTAGCAGTGGAATCGAGGACGCGCGTTTCGTCTTGTTTGGCGCTTGTCAGCTGGATTTACCTGCATCTCAGAGTTGATGTCCACTCTGGGACTCGAATTCAGTACCGTTCGCTTCAAACGCCATCGCGTTATCCACTGAGCTTCTGAGTCCTGATAGCCACTTGCTTGTGCAATGGGGTGAAGTTTAATTCACATGATATTGTTTTACTTGAATCTTCCCATTGATGTTTTAGGACTGAAATTGATCAGTCTCTTATTGGTATATGTGCATACTGTGCTTATGCCTCGATATTACCTTAATTTACAAGCATTATAAACAAAGATAGATAGTGACTAGCAGTGGAATCGAGGACGCTACAGATTCGATGAATATTGGTTCTATCTGGTTGTTGAAAACTAACAAGTTTTTTTTTAAATTTCATAAATAGTGACTAATTATTTTACTTAACTCTATGGCTTAATACAATATACAATGATGTTTATTTCAATCAGTTTGATTTTCTATGTGGAATATCAGATTGATTCTTTTGTAATTCATGAATTTACATATTAGCTTACATCTAAAAATCATTGTGAAATAACTTTAATTTATGACAATTTGAATTCTTCATCTTGACATTATATATCAGTAGAAAAAACTGTACGGAACAGTTGGATGACCACTTCCATGACTTTGTCGTGCATAATGAAATCAATGAATACACAAAATGAGTTATTTATGTTTTGAAATTTGAAAGGCTCATTTAGGTAAACAGTTAAAAGCCATGAAAACATCTTCAACAATTATCGATATACAAAAACCACTCTCATGAAATAACAGATCAGGCTGTCGGTTGAGAATAGTTTTTTTCAATTGTTGAAATGTTTGCAAGTGTATTGCATATTTATAATTATAAGTTTCTATGTAAGAAAAGATGGATAGTGGCAAACAGTGGAATCCAAGACGTGTGTTTCATCCTATTTGAGACTCGTAAAATAGAATGTAGCTGAATCTCAGGGACTCTAACCCAATACCATTCGCTTCAAATACCACCGCGTTATCCACTTAGCTACTGAGTCATGATGTCCACTTGCTTGTGCAATAGGGTGAAGTTTGAATTTATTTTATGTTGTTTTCTTGCTATTGATCAGCCTCTTATTGGCATATGTGAACCTCAACTTTGAGATGCAGGTAGATTCAAATAACGAGTCCCAAACAGAATGAAACGGCTGTACCAGATTTCTTTGCTAACCACTATCCATGGTGTGACTATAATTTGTGGACGAACCAATCAGATATAAAATAACAAGTTTCGAATTTCGGAACGAAATTCACTCATCCATTTGATTAAATAGAGTTTTGGCATTATAGCTGATGTCAGTTCGTGATGAAAACCCTAAATCTAATTCCTAATCGTAACCATTAACTGTAAATCATAATTCTAATTCTTCATGCTGGTTTATAACCCTCATTTGCTTCTAGTTATTAGGTAGACACTCTCAAGGTCACTTTAGCATCGATCAAAGGTCGTTCATAAATTATAATCTCACCCTATCCATCTTTGTTTATAATGCATGTGACTTAAGGCAATATCGAGACAATCCGCACAAGATGCACATATGCCAATAAGAGACTGATCAATTGCAGTCCTAAAACATCAATAAAAAGATTCAAACAAACAATGCAAGATGAATACAAGTTTTTTTTAGTAATTAGGATAAATTATTGAGTAAAATATATGTATAATAAAGCTTAGATTACATAGACCAACTTGATTACGAAGAAAGTTCTTTTGGCTAGATCACCGGCTGTTTCTGTTTAACTGCTCATAGAAGGGCATCACGTGTAGAATGTAAAATACTCTGAGCTGAACTACTTATTATTAGAGGGATTGATAGTTACTTAGTTATTTAATGGGATAATCAAGAGCTTTTTCAACATATTGTCTTGATTCATCAATATCTTATAGTATTCAGGCAACAGACATAGATTACTAAAGATAGTCGTACTCTATATCGGAAATGTCATATTTGTAGATAACCGTATGCTGGTCTCAAATCTTTGTATTAATGTAAAATAAATATGCTTAAGTAGGTTTTTGGAAACATTGTAATTAAACAGTGAAGTAGTGTTTATGGTTTAATTTGTAGATATACTGTGATATATTCTCGACTGAATATGGATTGAATTTAGTCACTTAACCTCTTCAGACACAAGTACTTGCATGATAGTCTCTTTACCTATCTCTAAAATCATTCAATGTAGTGATGTGGTACAGTTTAATTATTTATATCAGCTCTTTAATTTAATATCAAATTAAACTTGTGAACTTTATATTGATGAAATTAAGTTTTTAATACTCAACCAACGCAAAATCCGATTCACACGTCCGCGTCGTGCCTCCTGGATAGTGAGACGAATGTCTCATGAACCAACGTGAGCGGTAACCCGGATGGTGGAGATCGGGCTAATCACCCACTTTACCTATACCCACCAACTGATTACGATAAACATAGCACAACTACATTTGGAATGAAGTATTCGATTCGATTATTGTAAATTTATGTTAGAAGATGATTGTGACACATGAGTAGTCAAATGTTATTGTATAATAAAGCATGTAGGTTTTTCATTTATAAATTCAATTCTTTTAGCGTTCACGCTGAGTTTCGAATATTAATGTTTTAAGCACTTTATGTTGACATGTGTGTACGTGGACCATTAAAGAGATTAAAATTGTTACAGATTAATTATTTTCATTAATTCAATGACTGATGTCTCTTTATGGTAAAAGTTATCTTTGTACATAATACTTTTAATAATAAGAAGAGCTGAGCGTATCAGTATTGATATCCATTTCATATGATTATCTTGGTTTCTGTAAAATACGATCATCACAACAAAATAATAAGTATAGTTACTAACCTTTAAATGTGACTACAAAAGAAAGGAAATCCAGTGACTTCTAAAGTCAGAATATTTATGTTAAATTTCGAATGTTCAATAAGAAGTAATGAGTCGGAAACACAGTTTCTTCTTACTGACTTCAATAGCGATGAGTATTATGTGAACCAACAGATTCTGAACATGTTATCCCCTACAGTATTCCATATGGGAAAAGTGAATTACGTTTTGCTGACAGGTTTAAACATGATTTATTTGTTCAAGAGTAGTCATAATCTAAGATTTTCAAGTGATGAATATTTTCATGGGGATAGATCAATAGTGTTAATGATTGTATAAGCTGTTTAGATTCACTTGGGTTTTTAAGGAAAGTTTTGCCATAGAATGATGTTATTTGGTGAAGTGTTGAAAGCCGTAAGCTATGAGATAGTAGTATCAGTTCATCTTGATTGCACAATGTACTTTTGTGGTGAGTAGCCAATACAGTTGATCTAAAGTTAAATATTCTATGTTGTGTTTAAACTGATCATAGCAATATAATATAATTTTATACTGCGTACTTCGAATTTTAACTCTTGATTGAGTATGTCGAAGTTTAAGACTTATTGGGATTAGTACAATTTCGATATATTATTTCAAATCCACAGCATTTCATGAACAATGTATAAAATAACACTTCACGAATTCCGTCAAAAATAGATTTGACAGGTGAACGAAGCAACTTGTACTTACAGATAAACTCCTAAACCATTCCCAGTTTCATATGGATTACAATGGTTGCGAATTAGATAAAGGATTGCATTATGCGGGTTCCGGTTCTAGGAATAAACAGTCCTCTGGGAAGGTATGGCAATGCGAGCACTAACTAGAAATATGTAACGAAAGTAGCTGTTACGTATCAGTCAATCATGTCATTTTTTCGTAAGAAACTGTCAAGCTCTGGTTTAAAGAACCTCAGTCGACCTGTCTCGAACATCTGGAGGCACAATGAAATACCACACTTGAATACTCACTACTGATTGACGATTTTGACTTTATGCCGACTTCAGCTTGTGATCGATATGAAAGTTGAACTATAACATAGTTTTAGTTGTTACTCAGTAGTTTTCGTGATTATAGGTCGGTGCAATGTCACTATGAATACGCCATTTCTAATTTGACTTTCAAACCTGACAGCTTCTAGTGATTGCTGACTCATGTTTTGACAGCCGGTAATTTCGAGACAAATTAAG